AATATAATACGAAAATTTGAAATATTGAATCGAAAATACGTGAAGACCCACACTTTCAGGCAGAACTGATTTAATTTCAAAAACTTCGATAGATTGTGAACTGAACACTTAACTGCAGTATCAGTAAGTATATCTGAATGTGTTTTTATTGCTAAATAATGAAGAAAGAGCAGTACAGCATTAAACATTTCCTAATTTAAATTACTTTTGAGGCATTTGCAGTCGACCAACAAGTATGTAGCAAAACAACAAACTACTTTATCAAATGCTTTCACATTCCTTGATCCCTATGTCAACGGTTATCATAATTCACTTTATTAATAACTCGACGTAATAAAAGAGTAATTAGTGGAGTCCTCTAATCACCCAGGAAACAACGATAGGAGTAAAATGCCGACTTCATTAATCAAGTTTATGCATTAGCCTTTTTTAATGTATTCGCACAGGGTGAGTTTTTAAGCTATCACTCAAATAAGCAATGCTTGATTATCCCTATTCGACTTTCAAAATATTTGTCTGGATTTTCTGTAGACCAATAGTGTAAATTTTGTCTGTTGGGTACTCCGCTGTTGTAAAAGAAGATTCGTCAATCCATAAAATTTTACGAAAAACTAGAGCATCGATTTCAAATCATTCGAAAATAAACCTGCAAATTATAAATATTTGTGTCTTATTTGCCTCTGTGAGGTGCAGCGCTTTCATGATTTTGAAAGGAGGCCACTTGTTTTTCTTTAAAACTATACAGATTTTTTCCAAAGCTTTTATGCAAAATCGCTCTATCACGTATAGAATTTACAGAGTTGTCTGAAAAATATATTATAATTATCATCACGAAAAATCCGGCAAAGGCGTAAAATCTGAAAAATATTATTTAGTATTTTAAACACTTCATCTTGGTCCTCAATAAACTTTTTGAAACACTGATTCGTTGCTAACATCAGGAAACAACAAAAAGGGATAATCCAAGTATTTATAACGTAATGAATTATAAGTCTATTCTGTATTTTGCTAGTGGACGGATTATGATTCAGGGACGAAGTTAAAAAATTCAAAATATGTCTTACCAGAATAAAATATGCAGACTAATTAGAATGGTTTGCATCTTTCTCCTCTTTAAATATTTATTTCTGATAAATGATAGTGATAGATAAATACGTTTAAATTAGTATCTAGATGGTATGGGATTACTATTTCCGCCATCATCACTGTGAATTTCCATATATTCGCGTCTGGCCGCAGCTGAATAAAAAGTTTAATACGACCGAATACCAAGGAAAAAAAGTTATTATATTTATATTTTACATTTATATTATGACGATGACTTATTAACAACAAAAGAACAGCAAAGGCAAGCTTATGTTGTGTCCTCGGATCTATAATAATATATTATGAAACAAGTGTGGTAATAGTATATTGTTCAACAAGTGCGGTAAACAGCATTTGAGTCACGAGCGGAGCGAGTGTTTAATAAACGAGTAACTTAAAAAGTCTACCAAACCTGTTGCATACTTTTTCTAGGACCTTTAGTTTTTGGGTACATTTTTGCAAAATAACACAAATACATTCATCGACATGACAGACAGAATTAACAAACTTCAAAATTAAGTAATATACCGGAAATGTCCGAAGTGGCTATGTGGGAAACGAAAATGGTGTCGTAAAATGACACTTTCCGCACGCTTAATCGGTGTATAATTGAGCATTTTAGAGAAGGAAATAGAAAAATATAATATAACTATTAAAATATTTTACATATTGTACATAACATACAACTCAATCGTGCAGTGAAATTTAATATATAAAAAATTTAAAATAGAAGCTCCTAATAATTTAAATTTTATATAAGCAAATAATTACAAGAAAATACAATGACAGTAATATCAATTTATAATTAAATATAATGCGGATCTTAATAAACATTAACATGAGTCAGAGCTGTAAATTCATAAATAAGCAAGCACTTGATCTTACTACATCAAGCCAAACTAAGAAGGTAAATTTTAAAATTACAGAATGAAAATTCTAGAACCAAGTTAAAAGGTTTTACAAGATAATTTTTTTGACTAATGGTTTATTATACTTGTTTAAGTTTAAAATATCGCGCGCGATTGACGCTAACGCCTTCATGTGGCAACCTCGCTGCGCATCAACGTCGCACCCGCGCGCCAGCCTGCACAGTCGCCGTCTTTCTATGACAACGTGGAGAAGCTATTTCAAAAACCTCCCGAATTATGACCCAAATTTGTTCGCGTTTGTACAAGTGTGCAAACAAAATCGTTCAAAAAGAAAAGCAGTTCATTTTATTCGAAGGATTCTCCCAATTGCGTTCCCGCACGCACACCTATCAAGATATATAGGATGGTATCATTTCCGCGAATGCAATAACCGTCACCAATTTTTTTTTTCAGATTTATCTGTCTATCCACAAACTTGAGAGATGCGTGCACATACACACCTTTTAAAGTTAGGAGCTTTTTAACAAATTAAAACAGCACGTAAACTATCACTATATTGTTTTCACCTATTTCTAGTTTTATTTAACAACCTATGTAAGCAAATCTCCCATTGAAATCACAATTGAAAGACTCTACCAAACTTGCATAAAGTATTAATAAGATATCATTATTGACAATATTCCGCAAGACATACAACTTACAAAATACATCACATTATTACGGCTAACATTTACATGGTTAGCCGAAGAAGGTCTTTATTAAAAATCAAAAAAATATTGCCCAGAATAGTTCCCTGCGGATCACCTCATTTGGCTACTTTTGCAGAACTACTTATAGATGTTATAAATCTTTTGTTTTAATATGTTTTCATTTCGTCATCCTCTTCTGACTTTTTCGTATTAAAATTGAATAATTGTTATTTTCCAAGTCCTGTTAGCTGTGCAAATAATAGTTGGGCATAATACTTTGCGCTGTGATATTAACAAGTAATTTAAGAAACATTATGTCGTTATTGTATGAAATTCCTTCGTAACTAGACCATTCTTTAACTTTCAATTTCTGTGAAAATAAATCCATACTTTTAATAAAAATTTGCGGACGGTATTTGCGGAAACCATACATCAACTGTCGTAAAAAATCTCAGAAATGTGTAAAGAATCATAATACTTTTTCAATTTTGTTACTTTGCGAAAAAAATAGATTCGAGCAATAAAAATAGAAGATTCTTTTGTTGTTTGTTTGACTGTTATTGTAATACAACATGGATAATTAAGTTAAAATTTTCCATGAGTAGATAATTTTCTGGTAATTTTAAGGTAAGTGAGCTTCATTTTTAAACTCCTGAAATTAAAAGAGTTACATCTTACACGGTTGAATCAACCGGGGAAGTACCTATACCTAGTTTAATCAAAGCTAATTATTATTTATATTTTTCATCTAGAGTGGCAAGTAGAACCCTTCCCTTTAAGCGTAAATAAATAGTACTCAATTGTGGTCATTTAATCACTATTACTGACTAAGATACCATCTCTGTATGAATGTTTAGAATATTTTTACCTATTTTTACATATTTTAGCAAATGACATAAGGTAGAACAATCCTAGATTTTTATCCTCCTTCCCCTTTACTTGCTACTATAAATGTCGCCTAAGCACTATGCAACCAGATATGCCACTCCCTTATGCACAAACTGTTACTGTGGCCTAGTCTTGTAATGTCGGAGTAATAACCATGCTGGGATTCTGTGGTTTAACCTCCGCTAGTGTTGTGCCAATCGTTCATTTTACGAGAACCGAATCAATCAGTGACCGTTTTCGTAAAGGATCGAATCTTTTGTTCCCAACTGCAAGCTATAAACCATAAGAGGCAATAGTCACTAAATCTGAACAGTCCGAACGACCGATTGAGATTCATTTCAATTTGAATTATTGTTGTGTCTATATGTTCCATTTTCTGCTTTAGTTCGTATAATATTTAGCTATGGTCTGCTGTTTATTGTACGATTTTTTCAAAATAGGTGCTAGTATTGGGTTGTACGAGTAATACATTAATTTGTTTAAATTCAATACCTGCGTAGGAATAGATATTTCAATCAATATTCAATTCAACACATCAGCAAATCTATAAATCGATATCGCAACTCAATGCTCTACAATAATTATAACAATACCCCCATTCCATTTCCGTGGTCTGTCTGTCATGCATTTCAATTTTAAAGCCTTCAAATGAATCGTATTCCGCAAGGCGAATTCGATTTGTTTAGGTACGGCCGGTAGATCGGTAGTCCTGTAATCGGTCTCCGTGTCACTTCACCAGTCAGGGTGGCAGCGAGAACGAAAAGGTGATCGAATCGTTAACAAGCACGATTCGGTTCAACAATCCAGTATGTCAGTTTGGTAACTCTTCTTAATTTCCATGGAAAAAGCCATAGCCTAACATATCAACTAATAGCAACTTAACTTATTACATATTTGTTAAAAAGCACCACCAATAACTTAACAGTGAGAGAACAATTTATACCGTCTCGAATGCCATCTATTATTTGTGTCCAAGTACTACAGTACTGCCATGGCGGTTTACGTCACACTGAAAATACTACAGTAGCTTGTAACGGGAAACAACACTTTATTTATATTTTAATTAAAAAAAATAAAACTATTTCGACATAAATTATATTTTTTTACATTTTACCTTTCAAACTTTAAATTGAATTGTACGTACGTACGTCCCGCGCGTTTTCTGTTTCATGACTGGACACAATCACTAAAGGCGTTGAAACTCATGTACGCTTTTTAACATTGCCACTAATGGGAGCTTTCCCATCTATCTTATGCTCTTTGATTTTAGATATGTACCTGATATTGAGAAAATTGTTAGTACTTAGTCCGATAATTACATTCTGTAAAATGATTTAATTCGGTACTCGAAAATCTCTCAAATGTATGTCTTGTGTTATTGTCTTTTAATGAAAAGAAACTCTAAACAGTTTCTATGTTTTATGAAATCTTCCTAACTGTGGTAGCTATTCTGTGGCAATATATGGTTTTGTAGTCAGGTGAATTTTAAAAATATATTATTGTTAGTTGAAGCAAGGTTTTATATTTATGTTGAATTTTCGCCAAGGTGGTTAAAAAATTTCAAATGTTTTAAATTTTATGGTGCAAATGTTGCAGTTACCCAACAAAAGTTAAGAATTTTAGAGGTTAGGAAAAAACCGCTAAAATGATGAACTCGACTAATATAACCAATACAACATTGCAAAACTCCCAATTGCCTGTTCAAAAAATGGAATTGGCGGCCAGAAATGTGGACAAATCACTAGCGATGGATAATAATGCACCTAGATTAATAGATTTCATGAATGTAACAGCTCAAAGTGGATCTACCAACAGTGGACTAACGGATTTTGATTATCCCACGATTAATGGCTTACCTTTGGCATTAAATAATATGACCCAAATAAGGAACGTTAGCAATGTACCACTGCCACCAGAAATTATTGACCATTTTAGTCGTATCCTTTTCTTCTTGACTTTTTGCTAGAGTTTGAAAAAGTTCCAATGAAAGACCCTTAACCATTTTATGCAGATGTGCAATGTCACTGTATGATGGGACTATTTCCAGAAATAAATCGTGCTTGGCTTACTGTAGATAGTGACATCTATATATGGACTTACGAGGAAAATACAGATTTGGCTTATTTTGATGGCATTAATGAGACAATTTTATGTGTCGGTTTAGTGAAACCTAAACCAGGAGTGTTTCACGCGTTTATAAAGTACTTACTAGTGTTAACCACCGCTGTAGATATTATAGTTCTGGGTGTTACTTTCACTGCAGGTGCCTTAAACATTTCAGATGAAATTCAATTAATCCCGGATCCGGTGTTTACTTTACCAACAGATGGGAATACAATTACAACAATAACAGCTACACAGAGTGGGAGATTGTTTTTAGGAAGCAAAGAGGGTAGCCTTTTTGAAATATCATATCAGGTATATTTAATTTTTTGGTTTGGTGTTGTAATAACAGTAAAACTTTCATAGGCTGCTAGTGGTTGGTTTGGAAAGCGGTGTAAGATGGTTAATTTATCAACAAGTGCCCTGTCATTTTTGGTGCCCTCCTTTTTGAATGCCGCTCTTAGTGAGGAAGACGGTATTATTCAAGTAGCTATTGACGATAGCAGGAACATCTTGTATTCTTTAACTGAGAAAGGTTCAATAGAAGTTTGTGATTTAGGAGAGAATGGCAGTTCATTTTCTAGAGTAACAAAAGTTAGTCAAAATGCATTGGTTAGTCAAGCAGTCAGTACTGTCAAGTAAGTAGTGTGTAAGTGTGAATGTTGTATAAATATATCTCAGCTCTATTTTAGAACTATTGATAGCCAAAATTTTCGGCCAATAATAAGCATTTCACCAATAGAAGCTAGTGAATCTGGTAACATTAATTTGGTGGCTGTCACACAAAGTGGTATGCGGTTCTATCTGTCAGTAGTGGGCTTATCCAATCAACAGCCAAATCAAAGACCTTATACTTTAACGTTGATCCATGTGCGTTTGCCTCCTGGTTATTCCGCCAATGTGACTGTAAGGCCAAGAGCTGTCCACATGTCTCACTACCGAGATAGGAATTTAGTATTAATTTCAAATGTTAAAGACAAGGATGTTTTATGGTGCATGAGCTCAGATTTATTTCCATTCACACAAAGTTTAATGGAGGCCCACACAAGTGTAAATTTAGATGGAAACGCTCTAGCACTAGCGGAAGTAATTAATGAGTACAATAATTTTATTTGGCCCATTGTTACTGTGAGTTTTTGTAGGTGAGGCATGATACCCCTATTTCTAGTAATATGTACGAAGAACTGCCTCTGATCGTAAGACAACACGCTGAACCTCCCAAAAAATATGTAGTTTTAACTTCACACAGTGTGCAGATATTTATAAAACTCCGTCCAGTTGATTTGTTAAGACAAATCTTAATAGATAGCCGCGGTCGGGATACTGAACCCTTGAAAATATTTTTCGCGGTGCTTAGGGAGTCTCAAGCCTGTGCAACGAGTTTAATCTTGGCCTCTCTGGAAAATGATGTAAACGCCGAAGTCGCCGATCTGGCTACTAGAGCTTTCTTCATGTTTGGCGGGGAGCCAAAAATGATACCTATAAGTCAAACAGTTGCCACCTGTAAGTTAATATATTTTTTTAAACATTAACCATTATGTACAATCCAAATTTATTATTTTCTTTAGAAAAATTATATGACTCATTTTTCACTAGATAAAAAGTATAATGGTAACTACAATTCACACTCTTTATAAATAATGGTTTTTGTTCTAAAAGATTACCTAATGAGCTATTTGTTTAAAATCATTAATTTTGCTGGGATGAGCATAAATTTTGAATTGGTATAGTTATTTTATATGAAGTATATAATTTAAGTACCTAGTTTGATAGTTTAACGGCGTGGCAAATATACTTTTCCCAGTGAGTGAGTGAGTCATGATTTTTCTAGATTTGTCAAGGGCGGCACTTAAACATCACTTAGAATGGCATATACTCTGGTGTTTTTATCATAATTATTTATGGTTTATTATCCCAAAGTTTTTTAAATATATATTAATTAAAAAAATGAAAAGATGCTTGCAGAAATCCCATAACATCTCACAAATATTCGAAGCCCCAAAACTGATTATAACATGTTTGTATGTTTAAGTAAATTTTAGTTTGAATATTAGCTGAAAAATCTTAAATTTACTTATGTTTAGCACAATTAAAAGTTGGTCCTAAGAATGTATATTATTTTTGAAAAACATATTTGGTAAAATAATGGTATAATGTAAGCGTAGAACCCACAATTTATTAATAGAGATATGAATAATGGAAATAGGGAAATGTTTGATTTTTAAAAGTTATTTGTATGCTTGCATAACGCAAATATTTATTAATATATAAGATACATTTATGCATAAATGGTAAGAGTATTATAAGAAGAGCTTACCTTCAGAGAATCAAGAATACTTCAAACAACTGACTGACTGACTGCAGAAATTGAAGCTGCTCAGTAACCAAATCACCAACACAAAAATTCTCAATTTTTTTGTTAAAATTCCCAAAAATTCCATCACATTTGCCGTCCATAATAACCAAAAATTGCAAACTAACTAAAACTAACATAGTAGTATGATATTGAGACAACTGGAGAAGATTAAGATTGGGAGATGTTCTTATTCAAACAGGTCCCATTCAGGTTTCTAATTTATTCAGCTATTTTTAAATCTCAAACTAACACTTAAGCCCTAAGGTCTTTTTGGTTGAAACCATATGGCTATTAGATAATATAGTAAAACCTACTATAATAAAAATTGATGCGCCTCAGGCGGCATTGCTATTCTCGTAGAGAAGAGAATCATTTTCCTTCTACATTTCACCCTCTAACCCATACTTTGTGCAATTTTCTTTCAAACAAGCGATTTCCGCACACCTAAAATTTCATAAAAAATTGATTGTTGAATATCGCAAGGTCATTGTTTAAAAACAAGATTATAAATTTCGCGCATGCACACATAGAATGGATTTTTGGAAATATTTTTCATGGTTGTTTCTTAATTTCCCATATTATCAGCATATGGCAGGCCTCTATAATCACTAGTAGCCATTTGGGTGAAAGCTAGGTTTGGTTAGTTGACTGTGGGACGCGCATATTGAATATCGACATACATTCAAATAAAAATGAAGTTTGAAAAGCAAGCAAAATTTTAAAATAAAATAATAATTAGCTTGAATCAATCCCATCGCTCTTCACACACGCGATTTCTAAAAGTATTGATTGTCACTATTTAGTGAATATTAAACTTTTGAAATCGACGGCAGGTTCACTGAGTTATTTCAAGGCTTCCTTGCAGTTTAGAACGAAAAAATGTTTGAAGGCTTTCCAAAGAGATGGGTTAGCTAACCATAGCATAAGTTATGGATGGATTGTATAATTTTAGGTTCAGTAAATTAACATTTCATTTATTCTGTCTACTTTCATGTCAATATGAAGGTGTTCAAATACCATCTCAATGCGACTGGGGTTTGAATTCTGCGACTAGATCTTTTTAATGTTATTTTTATTTGTGCTATATAGACGTCCCCATAAGAACAACTGCTACTTTTATTTTATTATTATTATTATTATATTAATTTTCATTTTTCTTTCATTTTCAAACCCAACTTAAGGCCTCTAGTAAAGTATATGTATATTACAATTGAGGAGGTGTTTTCGAAACTGCGTTAATTTCCGGTATATTTAATATATTAGTATATTTAAATCCGCAATTTTTAACTGCATCAATACATACCTGGGATCAATTTCATGGGATGAGCTATTCGCAGGGGATTGTTAAGGAGATGACAACTCTTTTCTATGACATACCATATAAAACTTGTGACATGTTCCTGCCAATGAAAAAGATCGCTAGTGAAAAGTTTCCCAAATGGTTTTCACAGAATCTGAAAGCACTTATATTCAAAAAAAGATTGTCCATAAAAAAATTCAAACAAAGTATGACTACCTCTGTTTCTCCAAATTGCGTTCCCCTTACACTCACATATCAAAACAACGTTTTCAAGCCTATGTCACAGATGTCGAAGCCTCCCTTGACTTTTAACAACAACTCAGCTCCTATGGGACCTCAGGCTGCCGAACTCTTTGAGGAATACTTCAGCTTAGCCTTTGTCAATAATTAATTCTCTTGATATGCCAGATGAGCCCTCGTTGAGTCCGCACAACTTATGTAACTTTATAATCCCGATTTCTGATATTTATTCATAGTTGAATAATATTAACCCTGATGAAGGGCCGGGACCAGATAAGGTTTACCCTCTACTTCTCAAAAACGATTGCTTTATCTTATCAAGACCTCTACATGTCATCTTTAACAAGTCACTTCAGGAGGGCATATTTCCCGGCGTCTGGAAGTCTAGTTTTGTGTTTTGCGTTCTCCAGAACTCTCTCCTAGCCCCCCCACCCCCCTATTCATTAACTGCATCAGTTACACGATGTTTTAATCATAGCCTTTTCTCTCTTTTTGCTGAAGATCTGAAACTGTTCTCAAGAATAGCAACTAATAATGACTGTCTAGCAATGACTGTCGCAATATTGCCACACCAATGTACTTAATGTACTTAAGTGTCGGGCAATAAGTCTAGAGATTTCGTGAATTTGCCTGTTGCATTAATGATAGTCCATTGGGTTCCATGGATCAGGTCAGGGATGTGCTGTTATATTGCAATTTAGATTTTTTAGTCCACATCGATAATGCAATCAAAAGGACACTGTGCATGCTGGAATTTGTTAGGCGCAGTACAAGGGACTTCTCAAATATTTATCCACTGTATTATTCTCACATCTAGCTGCTTTAGGATGGAATCCCAATTACACCTGTCATATACAGCGGGTAGAAAGTAGTCAGCGTACATGAACTATCTCTGCCCAGCATTACATTTAACAACTATCGCCTGTCAAAGGAAACAGACTGCCCTTTGTTTAGCATCAAGGATTTGTCAATCCCAAAACACTCAAGCTACACTAACATTTCCCCCGGAGTTCATTGGAGCTAACTATACTTATAACTAGAGTTAGGATTTTGTGTAAAAAACATATTTTTTATTATTAGGAATATCAACCCAATATTTTGGATATACCCGTTTTAGAATGAAATAATTAGATTAACGATATAAAAAAATTTCATATTTCGCATAAAATGAAACTTTAGTACATATTTTTAGTTGTTGTCCATAAAGTGAATATCTTCTATTTTTGGAGCATGAAATCGAATATTGTTGACCCATTCATTAGTTTATTTATTATTAGATTTTCCAAACGGATAAGATTAAAACTGAAGTGCATCTGCAATGTTGTGGACTTTCTATTTATAGCCTTCAAATCCCGTTACCTAAGGATTAAGCCCTCGTCCCTTTTCTTGTTTGACGCTTTTATCTAATGTGATTTGAACAACCTCTTCTGAAAATCATTGAATTCAAAATACCGAAAGTGAATTATCATTTGGTGGAAAAAGAAGAAGTATACTGCAAGGCTTGTGGAAAAGTGGTAAGTTCTCATTCATTTGAAATATGTAATATTTTAAACATTGCGATAAAAACTTATTATATTATAAATTTTTATATCGAGCTGATTTATTATTAGATATACATTATGTTATAATGAATATTTATCCATAAGGTTACATGTCAGAAAAAATCACGAATAGACCAGCACGTCGCCACTGGAAAACATAAAAGTGGATGCGAGAAAATAAAGAAGAATAAAATTATTCTTTGCAACAGTGCATTTCAGCGGCATCTTCAAGAACAACTGATGAAGACAATTTTAATTTATATTTATGTGGAGCGCTGTTAATTGCAAATATTCCCCTTAATAATTTTGCAACAAAAATGTACCTCATGAAAGTACCTTAATAAAAAATGTAAGTTCCATTTACAAAAAATCAATCAAAAATGTTTTAACAAAATATTTTTTAAATAGTACAAAACAGTTGAAAAAAAATAGCAGTATATACAAACAATATGTAAAAGAAGATAACTGATAGTAGCACCAATGTTTAAGACTATTTATATCAAATCTGTTTAAATATAATACATAATTGAGACCTCTAGGTGGATATGCACCATCAGCTTTGAACAGAAGGTATTTAAATTTTTGAATCAAATTCAGATCGAACAAAGCTAAAGTAAAGGGTTTTCAAACCAAAGGTTTACAATTACGCATAATAAACTCATAATTACGATAAGTCTCAGATACAGTGCTCTCTATGTCATTTAGACTGATAATCAGAAGGTTGTTCGATTTGTAAATGAAAGCTTAATGGCCTCTTTTGCTCCAGATATACTACCAACTGATAAAATACTTCTCTTAGTCATGATCAAAGCAGGGTTAAATTTAATTTTTTTTTATAAAAATTTAATCCACATGACTTGCTTAGCGCATGGAATAAATAGAGTTACCGAGGAAATTAAATGTCAGTTTCCATTAGTTAATTCTTTAATTTCGATCGTAAAAAAATATTTGTTAATGCTCCTCTTCGAGTTCAAGTTTATAAAGAAACATTGCCAAATGTTCCTTTATCTCCTGAACCCGTAATTACTCGATGGAGAACGTGGTTAGACGCTAATAACTTTAATCAAATAAAAAACATTGCATTAGACTTTTCAGATTCAGCTGATTTAATTAAAAAAATTAAAAATTCATATGAAAAATGTGAACTTATACATCAGTTGACATAAATTAAAACTAATCTTAGTTTTTAAAAAAATTAGAGACCGAAGTCTTTGTTAGAGCCAATTTCAATAGTGGAAGAGTGCAAACATTTGTTGAAAAAAATTCCAAGCAGAATAGGGAAAATTATTCTTGATAAATTTAATAGTATAACAACGAAAAGTGAAGGGTTTGAAAAGTTACTTGAAATTTCAAAAGTTTTATCATTAGATGCGATGATTTACATTATTTGGAACCAGAACATCTTGCATCATTTAAATTCGCGCCAAGTACAAAAGCATGCGATAAAAGACAAAAATTAACCATAGAAAATTTAGAACAGCATTTAATTGTCAATTGGTACAATAATAATAATAGGTCTGATTGTAAAACTAAATAGTTTTTACCATAATGCTTTAATATAGGTTGGGTATAAGTATATAAATATAAATCACTAATTTATTATTAGCTAATGTTAGTAAATACTCCTAATTAAATATTATTATTTTGATGTGTAAAAACTGTAAATATAATGTTGTATTTTTTTGTTGTTGTTTGACTATTCTTTCCTTGATTTTCAGTAAAAAATGTATGTAAAATACGTAGGTTGTAGAAAAAAGCTTATTATTATTGCTGATCTCTTTTGTATTGTTTTTTCATAACTTTTTATAATTTTATATTATGTGGAGTTGTAATTGTTATCGCTCTTTTAATAATGTGTAAATGGGCTTGACCCGTCGGTAAATAAATAAATTATAGTTGCAGGAACAAATCTCATAACATCAACTCCAGCTGGTCCACAGTACCAACCAAATTTACAGCAAACGTTCCAGTCGCCGCAGTCGCCGAGTTATCAATCTCATAGTTTACAATCGCAAAATTTTTCGCAAACCATGTCGCCTCAAGCAACTTTCGATCCAACTAGTACCGTTAACTTTTCCGCTAAGCATAACGGATTATATCTGTACCTGTGTCGAATTCTAAGACCCATCTGGAATAGAAGATGCGCCGACAAGGTTCACATTGATGGGAAAACCATATCTGTAAGATGATCTCATCTAGCTAGGAAATAGTTTTGTGCATTTTTGGTATTTATTGCAGAATCAGAGTACCATAACGTCCGCGGAGTGCATGCAAATCCTGGCCAACCTGTCCGCGCTTCATAATTTTCTAAACTTGAACACTCAATTGTCAAATCCCGGTATGCCGCAGCAGAGTACTTCGATGAATGTAACGAGAATCAAGTCAACCGAACACGATGCCCAGCTAGAAGAGAGGCAGTCCCTTGATGCCGTGAAGACTTTCGTCTGCCATTGTTGCCAGATTTTAGGGTTGTGGCGTATATTGTGTGACCATCAGTTTCACAGCTTGGTTGGTAAGTACTAATACAGTTAGCATCATATAATTAGTGAGTGCATCTAGCCCAATTTTAAACTTATTTTCAACCAAAAATATCTTTTAATCAGTAATACTTAGACTTTTTCTGGCGGACCCCCAGCTGCTAGTTTTTTACCATACTGTATACGGTCCTTGTCTTCTGGAGACAGGACGTATCCAGCTTATATGAATTGTTGTGTACATTGATTGACGGTATGACCGGGGGATAAGGAAAAGGAATGTATTGTATTGTCTTGAATTTACACTTCAGGCATAAACACATCATTATATCATCTCCCCATCATAAAACATCACTCTTTATAAGATAAGAATAAAATTTTAAAAAGCTGCCCGCAAATGGCTGCGCAACTTATATTCTTTATATGCACATATGGATGTAAATAATGATAGGTTTCTTTTTTTTCTATTTATTCTTCTTCTTTTGTATTGCTTCAACTAAAACTTCGCCTTTTGTTCTTTTAATATATTTACAAATCTGAGAAACTATATCCTTACGATGCGTCTACCTTCCACTTTTGTTATATACTTTTATTTATATAAATAAATTGATGTAAATCATAGTTCATAGTAATCATGTTCTCTTTTTTTTGTATTGCTTGCTTTTTAGGTTGTATATTGTACAGTTTTAACTAACAATTAACAAATAATTAATATACAGCAAGTGCAAGTTAAGTGAAATGGAGAGGGCTATTTTTTATAATCTTAACCTGCTCAACAGTAAGGCTGTGGTCGCCATTGAAAAATTCACGCACTTAAGCGACAGTCCAATTTTTCTATGTTAATTCCTGTAACAAATTTGTTATGATTAAAACAAATATTCATATACTTCATATAGTATTTTTCGAATACTCAAAAATAAATTCACAGAGTGTAAAAAAAATATCAATTTTCTTTTTTATTTCTATGCCTAATTTGACTTCAAAACCTTAATGCTAACGCCCATCGATGCTACATCGATTATTCAATAATATCTATTAAAAGTTCATCCACATTTTTTGGTTTTATTTACGGAGGTACGAGACTGGAACTCACCACTTAGATCACCTGATTTGAAGCCCTTGGAGTTTCGCCTCTGGAGCCATAAATTTTTTAATGATGTGACATTATTCACAATACAACAGCCCTTTATTATTTTTAATTATTGGGAAAGGCTTATGCTGTGCACAGAAACACAAAAATGTCAGCTAATTGTTTGACAAGAGATTTATTTCATATGGGGTGTCCAATTTTTGGTAAGAAATTGCATTGCTTTACTTTGCTTTTTTCAATGTCACATCTTGGATGACCAGATGCAAAATAATTCTGCATTCATACCTATTTAAAACGACTTTTATGTTATTTCATATTTTCAATTTTAATGTCGTTCCAGAAATAAAATATAATTGACAAGAGGCAAAAATTCTAGTGTTAACTATTAGTTAGTCAATGAAAGAAACGACACAAAACATGGAACGCAAGAAACAAAAAATACAACATGAAGGTGAACAAAATATGACAATAATATATCATAAATTTTTTGTTCTGAGTAAGCTCTAACATTCTTCCCGTAATGAACCTGTGTTATTCGTCTGAATTTAAATTAGTAAAGACGAGGCAAGAGTACATTAGCTCTTTTATACCACCACCAAACTTAGAATCCAAGGGCTACAAAAAATAAGTTCAGGATTTCATATACTATTGACTGAAGACTATTGTGAAACAATTTACCGGACGTTCCATTTAAAATAAGGATGTTAGGTGCTGTGAAATATTTAAGAAACAACATGCATAATAGCAACTATTTTCATTGCATGCAGCACGTTTCTACAAAGAAATTGTGTGACATTTTTTTCGCTAAGTCTAATCGAGTCTGGTCCTACAATAAAGATAACTAAAATAAAACGTTTTATATTTCTAAACTAGTGCTTTCTTCTGAAGTTTATCTTCGATATTGGAAGGATTCAGAGTTTGTCCTATTTTTGAGAGTGGTGAAAAAAGTTACGTAAGCAATGCTTCAATCACAATCTTGTCTCTATCTCACAAACTCGGCACGGCTTTTATAACTCCCGGTCTACGGTTACTAAAATAGTACAGTTTACAGAATATGTAAGACCAAAACTACATAATCATATACATAATATGGGCGTTAGAGGTGCAGCAAACTCAGGGGTTAAATCTTACCTCTCCGAGAGAGTACAGCAGGTTGTGATCGGCGGTTCAAAATCTAGCTGTCAATATGTAGGCAGAGGTACCCCGCAAGGATCCTGCTTATCACCGCTCCTCTTTAATTGTTTTATTAACGATCTTCCTCAGGATAATATAGATGCATTATTTGTACTGTAGCCAGATGACACAAGCATTTTAGTTACAGCTAAAAGCAGAGCTATTATAAAAGGGGCCGCAGAACCAAGGGTCACGCGATACCGGACTACAATTAAATAAATCTGATTCAATGGCTATGGAAATAGTCACAAAAAATAATCGCGTTGATTCCAGTATTCCTCTCCAATTAGAAGGACGTTCTATACAAAACGTGGAGGCTACTAAGTTTCTCGGTCTGCACATTGACAACAAACTGACATGGAATCATCACATCAACAACATATTGCCCAAATTAACCTCCTGCTCATACTTAAACCAAAATATTAGAGATACGATATCCATTGACGTTTTAAAGCTGGTGTACTATGGGCTGTTCCAATCAGTGATAGGTTACGGTATAATCTATTGGGGTCTAGCCACTGGTGCACATTGGGTCTTCTTAGCACAAAAACGTGCTATTCGTTACACGAAGCGTGTAACTAGTAAACATTCATGTAGGGATTTAGTTAGGGAACTTCAGATCATGACATTTCCGTCATTATATATTTATTCCGTTTTGATTTACGTCAAAAGTAACATGATAAGATGGAATAGGAGATGTGACTTGCACGAACATGACACACGGCAGAGAGATTACTTGGACGTTCCATTCTCTAGACTGCATATCGGGCAACAAAACCTGAGGTATTTTGGTTTGAAAGTATATAACAGAGCTTTAAATTTCTATAAATGCTTCGAAGAAACTGATAGTTTATCTGTGTTTAAGAAAAGAATTAAGACCTTTTTAACTGATAGGTGTGTCTACTCAGTAGATGATTTTTTTAAATGTATTTTTTAAATGTATTGTTTAAACACTGTATTTTAATGTGATGTGACGTGCTTAATATACTCATATATGTGTTATATGTAATATCGAAAATCGAAATAAATATCTAGCTATCTATCTATCAAGGACAAATAGATTTTTATATACCGATTTCCGTGTAAGTGACCGCAATGCTTTGCGGAGCTGATTTTCAGTCTAAATAACATAGAGAGCACTGTATCTGAGACTTATTGTAATTATGAGTTTATTATGCGTAATTGTAAACCTTTGGTTTGAAAACCCTTTACTTTAGCTTTGTTCGATCTAAATTTGAGTACATAAAAAATTTAAATACCTGCTGTTCAAAGCTGACGGTGCATATCCACCTAGAGGTCTCAATTATGTATTGTATTTAGACAGATTTGATATAAATAGTCTTAAACGTTGGTGCTACTGTCAGTTATCTTCTTTTATATATTGGTATGTAACGTTACAAACTGTCCGAATTTGTTAGCGTATTTGAATATTAACCATTTTTCACTGGTAATTGTTCAAAGAAATAGAACAGGCTACTGTAATACTATTTGCAGTTCTTCGGGATTCTTGCTGCGTCAGTTGTTAACGTTTCCTCAATTATCCAGTCAGCTTCTTCAGAGCGTAGAGGAAATTGGTTTGCATTGCATGCACCTACTTATATATGGTTTTATCCTTTCGGCCTATTGTTAGCGCCATTGTTCTCCAACCTATTCTCTAGCAAAAGTTCTTGATTCTATATTAAAATCCTTTTCAGGGAATACTGACAGTTTCGTACTTAATTCCTTTCACTTCATTGATCAATTAAAAAATTAGTTTTGATTTAGAGTTCCTCTTTACTAAAGTTCCTATTCCTGAAACTCTCAACAATATTTGAGATACACTAAAATCTGGAATCAAACCTTCTCATCTTAATTGAGGAGCGATTGTCTAGAACATATTTTTCTTATAAATGTGAAATTTATAAACATGCCGGGTGACACAAGAAAGTGGGCACACTATAACTTTTAAACGGCTTAAAATTGCGACTTGAAATTTGGTGAATGTCCAATTTTTGGACAATATGTAGTCAATGGTTGCACTTCCGGTCTGAGCGGAAATCACTTTAACTTACAGTAACTTTCGAATTGCAAATGGCACAACCTATATTTTTTTCATTTTTTGGATTCAGGAGGATAGTACGTAGGATAGGACGGTTTTTATCTTTTTTTGTTTTTTTTTTATTTACTTTTTCAAAATTGTGTCTAGAATGCTGTGACCATTATAAATACTATTTGCCTTGTCACCTGATTAGCAGTGGGAACAAAAACTTTTTAAAACCGGTACTTTTTTTGCAATATAGGAAGGAAAAAACAGATAAGTAAACACATTTTATAAAAACAAAATATTTCTTAGGTGGCTTTGCTTCTATTCATTCATTCATTAATTGTCAAGTCGGTAAGATTAGAAATGCAGAAGAAACTCTCGACAGGCTCATGCAGTGGAAAAAAAACAGATTAGTATATAAAAAAAAATGAATAAAATTCAAGGGAGAGTTTCTTCTGAGATTCAAAGATTAGAATTTTTTTGTTTAAAGTGTTTTATTATGGTAAAAAGTTAATATGTTTTTGGAATACGGGGATACAGTCAAAAATTAACGTAAGTATTGTACGTATACGTACGTCATAAGCTACAAGCACTTTTTACCGGAAACTCAGAAGAATAAGAGAATATAATTTTTTTTTCTTTTCAAATCTGTGACTTTTTGGGATAAATGCAACAATGTCGGTAGAATCGATTTGAAAGTGCTAAATCAACTTGTGTTACTGTAAGACAAGTTTTAAATTTATTTTGGAACTGGAGCTTTGTATTTATTTGAATTAAATAAGTTCGATAGATATTTACTTAATAACCAATTTATTTTACGGTAAAGCTTTCATAGAATATGGTCAAAATGTCCCCCTTCTTGTATACGACGCTCCCTGGCTCTAGAACTTACATTCGCTGTAACCCTTCCTAACATTTCTGGAGTTATACTATCAAATGCAACCGATATTCTCCACTGTAATTCTTGTAGGTCGAACACTGGAGTTACATAAACACCGTCTTTCACGTAGCCCCAAACAAAAAAATCTATGCGTGTCAAGTCCGGTGACCGTGGGGGCCAATTGACTGGACCGTGTGTTGAGATTAGGCTATCCCCATAAACGAGTCTTCAATTTCATTTCTTACGAAACATCGTGCACCAGTTAAGGCACCCTAAAAAAAATGCAATAATTCGCCTTCCTGTCACTCCAGTATCTGTTGTTCTATCGGTTAAACATAGCCTTATTTGAGAATCGTGACTCATCGGTGAACAAAATTAAGTTAACGAAATTATTATTTTCGTCACGTTTATCTTACAGCCAATTACAATATCGAATTCTTCTGTCAAAGTCAGCTATATAAAGATGTTGATGAACGGTATAGCCGTGTTTTATTTTAATTCTCCTCGCAAAGTCCCTTGATATGTCTAGTTCTAATGCCACTTCTCTCAGCGTCGCAGCTGGATTTACGTTACGTTTCCACTTCTTCACTTATAATAAAATTATCATGTCGATTACTTTATGCATTTCTCATTTTCAATTCCAGTTTTCTAAAGAAAGAATGTGCAGGAAGGCGACGTCCCGGATAGCGAGCTGCATACAATGCACGGGCTTGTCGATAGTTTTTTCTACATTCCCCGTATATCACAATCATATCAACTTTTTCTCCATTTGTAAATTGGTTATTGTTTTCCATGATAATTCAAATCGATAACGCGACAAAATCGATAATCAGATAAAAATGGACAAACTGTCAGAATTTTCATGATGATGAATAGAAGCAAAGCCACCAAACTAATATTTTGTTTTTATAAAAATTTATTTACTTTTTCCTTCCTGTGAACTTATTTTTTAACGGATTTTGAAAATTTTGGTGTCAAAATGTTGCAAAAAAAGTATGTGTTTTAAGAAGTTTCTGTTCCCACTAGGGTGCTATTCGAAAAAACTATGTTATCCTAAAAAATTATTAGTTCATTACATTACTTTTTGCCATTAGATAAGCAAAGAAAAGTTTCATTTACAATTTTTCCCATGATCAGTTGACCCGGTAAATATTATTTATGATGGTCACAGCCTCCTGGACACAATTTTCAAAAATTAAATAAAAATTTAGAAAAAAAAAGAGAAAACCGTACTATCCTACATAGAATGATCACCGGAATCCAAAAATGCAAAAAAATATCTGGTGTGCTATTTAAAATTTGAAACTTACTGTCGTTTCCGCTCGAACCGGAAGTGCAACCATTGACTACATATTGTCAAAAAATTAAACATTCAGCCTATATCAACCCTTCTAAATTTAAAATCACTTTCTCAAGCCGTTTAAAAGTTTTAGAGTGTTCCCACTTTCTTGTGTCACCCGGTATATCATATGCCTTATCACCAGCCATTGCACATATGTAAGTTTTTGGGAAGAAAGACTTCAACACCTTCTTTTTCTTTTCTTAGCCGTTTAAAATCTATACACGTTAACTCACTTTTTACCATTGAATTAGAAACTAATAATCTCTCATTCATAGATATTCTTATTAATAGAGCATCAGAAATAACATTGTCCCCTACCCAAACAGACCTATACCTCACGATTCGTCCTCTATGGTCCACCCTTCCTTACAGTCTAAACAGCACAGTCGAAAAGTCCATTGGGAAAAAGAACGAAAAATATCCATTATGCTAAAAGAACATTACAGAGCCTTAATACCACGACAAATAAACTCAGCAGTTGTAGAACATAATGATGAAATCTTATTCGACCAAACGAAAATTCCTGCAAGCAATCAATTATTCTACCAAAGAAAAATCCGAGAATTCATAGATAAATCAACCAACCAATCTTAACCGTGACTTAGGTCTTTTCCTTTCACCAATATAGGAATCAGTGAATCCAGACAATATTCATTCCTCACTTTTTAGCTTCGCCCCCCCTCAAGCGAAACCCTGTATGCTATGTATTAATCCACTCTGGATAACGAATTTCTCACTCTCTATACCGAAAGAAAAAAGGGCACATCAGGTAACAAAGTAAGGAATGTAGGCTGACTTGTAATTAATAGAGTCTCTTACCTTCTCAGAATTCCTTTCCCTAATAATCTAATTACCGAGAATCTGGTCGTCGTAAGTGTTTTTCTCCTAATAAGCGATTATGTTAATGCCTCTATGGGTATGTATAAAAGCACACCATTGTTTCAATCAGTTCTAATTTGAATTAGTGAATACGGCGTGCAGGGCGAGTTAGCCAAAAATTTTATCTCGAGATGATAAAGTTTCTTTGATTCGGGAGATAGAATGGGTAGAAAAGAAAGTGGGACGTCGATACAGACTTACACCGTCGACTGCAGCCACAGTTTGGAAGTGCAAAGAAAAAAGGCATTCAGGCTAAAGCGGCAGGCAGTTCTAGTAAAAAACTAACCAAGTCAAAATTTTAAGATTTGGATCAGGCAATGTTGACGAAACTGGTATTTTTTACAAAATTACGCCAGATAAAACTCTTAAATTTCGAAGCGAAAAGTGTGTGGGTGGAAAACTTTCTAAAGAACGTATAACAGTGTTAGTAGCTGCCAATATGAGTGGGAGAGAAAAAAGAAACCTAGTCGTGATTGAAAAATCAACTAACCCACGATGTTTTAAGAACATTTGCCGGTCACTTACAAGGCAAACAAGTCTGCATGGATGACATCGCAAATTTTTGAAGAGGAGATACGGAAATGGGAGGCAGAATATTAGTTCTCTTAGATAACTGCTCTGCACATCCCCATTTTCCAAATTTACGGAATATTGAATAGGCATTTCTTCCAGCCAAAACAACAAGTCTTAAGAGTCGATACAGGAAAAAGATTTTAATGGAAATAATCGAGTCCGAAGACAAATTTTCCATTAATATGCCAAGCCAAAGTACGAGATGCGTATTGGCATACTAAAAAAATTCTAAAGAAAATGACCGATTATTTGAAACATTAAATGTAGTTCTTAAATATGTATATGAAATGTGCCTAAGTAGATGGTAAAATATGTATATAAAATAATTAAATATTACAGAACACATATGCGTATTGTTATTTTTCGAGTGCCTATAACGAAAAATAAGCAGTCCCTTCAATTTCGCTATATAGAGTTTCGACATATAGATGCTGGTAAATTTAGTCAATTACTATGATAATGATTACTAAATGCTTTTTTTGTTTTCTATTATTATGTCTTGGTCTGTGAGTAAATAGTTTTTTGTTAAGCAATAAATCTATTATTTTAATATTATTTTAGGAGCCTTGCCAGAAAATCACCAACAGATCCTGCAGAGCATAACGTTTAAGGAATTATTCTTGTATAGGCAAGACATCTGCTCGGTTTTAATTAGCACATTGGTCAATAGCTATTTAGGCGATAACGCATCCGTGGATTCTATAAGCAACAGGTTGATGGAAGTGTGTCCCCACTTGTACAAGCCGGAAGATGCCGCGTATTCCAAAGTAATTCCGTCATTCCGCTTAGTTTTTCTTTGACTTGTGATGTTTTTTTTTTAGGCCAGTGAATTACTGAAATCGACGCGGACCGTCCAAAACGTCGACGAGAAAGAAGAGATGGTTTTGTCGGCTTTGCAGCTTTGCAAAAATATTGTGCCCAACATTAACTTACCCGAAGTCTACAAACAGTTCACAGCGCTAAAAGCTTACAAAGCGGTCGTCGAGCTCTGTGCTCATTTCGCGAAAAAGATCGATCCGGATAAAGTGGCGGAAAATTTTTATGGAAACGAAGACAATGCCGCCGATAAGGAGGGTTTCGCTTATTATCAAAAAAGGTGCGTTCGATGAACGTACAGGGTGTTATTGAAATAACTTCATATAATTTAGTTAGCAAATGTGGACCAAAAAAATTGTTAAAATGTGGAAAAAGATAGGTATTGAATTACCATGCACTTTCAAAGCATTTTCTTCATAATGTTTTCACACACTGTTACTCTGAAAAATCATAAAATTAACCTATTACTTTTCACTGGCACAGTAGTTTTAAACCTGTTTCCAATAGTCTGCCAGTGAGAAGAGGTTATGAAACAATAGCTTTTTTATCTGATTCGGACCTAACAAAATATCGATTCGGCATCGGGGTGGGGTCCAGGTTCATGCTGCCACTTCAATAATACCCAGTATATTAACATTATCCTTTATATGATCTATTTGTTAGGATGGAGATATACAGGGAGGTTATAAATATGCTAGAAGTGCTTTATAATGAGCAAAGCGATCAACCCTCGGCGGCTTCCTTTAGTTTAGATTACACAGATCAGAAGTCAATTTTACTTAACGATACAGAACCTTCAAGGCTTGGAAATGTGGTGAGTATATTTGAACTAGAAATTAATGTCCTCAGTTTCTTAACAAGAGAAACACACCTCCACTTAACTTCCAACGTTAAATAAAAATTTGTGTAATTAATTAAAGAATAGTGTGCCTACATTACGAATTCATGTAAAAAAAATATATTTGGCGTAATTGTTTTATCAGTTGAAAGGATTTTTGTTATTCCAAATATAACCTCTATCTCGGTGTAAAGTGCAATAATTAACACATAATCCATTTGAATGAATATAATTAAGAAAATTTCAAAATAAAAGGTTAGATATATTAAACCAACCAATTAACCAAAACCAAATACTAACAGGAAATTAACGGAGACATTTTAAAAATTAAAGTGTTTGGAGCAAATGTTTTACGAATTGAAAGACATATTTAAATGTTTTGCCAAATGTAATAACCCATATCCGCACCCACAAAAAGTGCTAAAGTGAACATTTAAACATAGGAAAAAGGTGATTTAGAATGCACAATTTAGTGATTTTGAAATCTGTTATTTAGAAAAAAAAAAAAACAAAAGAAAATTACTATGTTGAACAATTGAATAGTCCAACTAAAACAAACTTTCTTACACATATCAAGTTTCAAATAACATAATTTTGCTGCTAACTTTACATATATTAAATGTGTTTGCCGAACATGATTCATTCATCCAGAAAAAAAAAAGATACAAGAACAAAAATTACAAAAATATCTATGACCACAAAGATTCCTACTGATACGGACCTTTTGCACCAATTGCACAAATTTCACTTTATTGGTTATTAAAGGGTTATAATCCAGTTTTTCGGACGTTATGTCAAATCCAGCATATTTAATTTTTGCTCGTTCTTTGTTGTTAAAGTTACTTTTAAAGGTTGTTTTATGTATATGTTTATCACGATGTAAAATGTGTCCGATTTGTTTAAGGTGCAGAAGAGCACTTACACGAATCGTGATCACAACCTTAAAAGAATTAGTATATTATGCAACAAGTACGGTAAGCGGCAGTTGAGTCACGAGCAGAGCGAGTGTTTAATAAACGAGTGACTTAAGAAGTTTACCGAACGTTGCATACTATACTTTTTCAACGACGGTTAGTTTTTGGCTACATTTTCGCAAAACAACACTAATACATCCACTGGCATGACCGTCAGAATTGACAAACGTCAAAATTCAAGCCGCGCGGTAAAATCTCCGAAAACATCCGATTGCTCCCAAACCCGTGCGGTAAAATCCCGGAAATGTCCAAAGTGACTCGGATCTGGGGGAAAGGAAACTGACGTGGTAAAATTAGCCATTTTGCAAACGGGAGTAGAAAAATATTATTTTGTGCCATATTTTTTATGACCTATAATTGACCTTTTAATTTAGAAATAATGTTAGGGATATGTTCCTAAATCCCGCACAATGCGATTAAAAAAAAGCAATAGTACTAAGTCGTCATTATCGCCAATCTGCATTCGTTTTCCAATAGTTTTCATTTTCTAAAAAATTGTAAATGTTTTAAAACGCTACAAAAATTGACCCTCAAACCATTGACTCAAATATGTAACGATCATAGAAACGACTTCTTTGGTCTGACGAAATTAGATTTCTATGCATTAGATATTTTCTTGAATAAATAAGAAAGGAACTAATGAAATGAAAATATTTTTCTTCTCCCGTCTGTAAAATACCTAAATACCATCGATCTAGCCATCGAAGCGTCACTTTACCACGTCAGTTTCGTTTAACATGAATCCAAGCCACTTCGGACATTTCCGGGATTTTACCGCACGGATTTGGGAGCAATCGGATGTTTTCGGAGATATTTCCCACGCTTTGAATTTTGACATTTGTCAATTCTGACGGTCATGTCAGTGAATGTATTCGGTCGTAGAAAAAGTATAGTATGCAACACGTTCGGTAAACTTTTTAACTCACTCGTTTATTAAACACTCGCTCCGCTCGTGTCAAATAAACTCGTGAGTAAAATGCCGTTTACCGCACTTGTTGCATAATATACTATTAAAAGGTAACAGTTAAAAGTTATTTTTTTTTAAATTCATCACCCACAACATTTGCTATTTTGGAAACTTACCGTATTACTAGCGGCAACACCGTCTACGCTTTTAGCTTTAGTAACGGGTTGAACATTATTTCTCATCAAGTGCGTATGAAATAAATGCACGAAAATAATTGGCAAGTAAATATGAAGAAGGCGAAGTTCATAGCATAATAATCACCCTCTATGATTTCAAGTAAAGACTCCCATACTGCTGTCAACAATGGAGAATGTTTGGGAGAATGGCGCTATTAGTAGTTTTATATGACGTACCCATTTACCCGGATTTTAACCCATATGACAGCTTCAAAATTTTTAAAATAGTTAAGTCTCAAGTTACTTAGGGATTTCTTTCGAACTAGATATCTCTCCAATAAATCAAAAAATATATTTTATATTCCCTTCATGGGAAAACTGTAGCAAAGGAGCAAAAATTTGAAATTTTCTTAAAATATTTTCAAGATCTAGATATACCAGAGATGACTATCAGCTTTCTTATTTTAAAAGGAACAGCCTATATATTATTGCTTTCTTGGATTTTCGAGGAAATTCTAAATATATTTCATGCATAATATATTCCTAAATTTCAGATTTTTAATATTTTATGACAAGAATTACGATTTCAGGCCGAACTATATCGGGCAATTTTTCAGGTACAGAATTCTTTAAAATTTTACTCTATTAACTTATCCTGTCGAAAATTTCGAAAGTTGTGGAAACCTCCTATTTTTTAACTTAACTTTCGAGATATTGTGGTTTATTTTTCTTATCTTGGCCTGTCCAGCGAAAGCGAAAAATAAATGCAAAAAAGTCAAATTAAAGATACTTATAAAATAACAACGAAATTTTAAAAATAGCACAACTAAAAAAAACAGCAAATATTCAAACTGGCATTTAAGACATTTTCGTATCGGAAAACCAATCGGGTTTAGGGGTTGATTTTTTTAATGAATTTTGATTTGGGATATTCTTTGCTTATAGTTGGAGAGAATGTTTATTATAGTCTGTTCATAGATATAAGAAAGTGACTAACAGATACGAATTAAGGAAAGACCCGGGCAAGCTGTAAGAATGAAATATGGCCGAACAGGTCAGCACTTTACTTAGAATTTAATTATTTGGGGTGTTGTTAGGAAAGATACTAAACAATATTTATTTATTTATGTATGTATTTATGTTTAAGTCTAAAATAAAATTACAAATTATTTTTATTACCTACTTAAACTACATAAAATTATTCACATAATATATCAGTATCACTGTCGCTATCATCGCCTGTTCTAATTATTATTTGTTCTATATTATTTGCAATATGGATATACAATTGTTCTACTTTTTCTATATGTTTAACAGAATTTGAACAACTTTGTGGAGGGATATTAAAAACTTCGGTTTCTATACGTTTGAGGACATTGGAGTTAATACGGCGAAAAGCATTGTTACGACGAATGGCAGATTTCAGTTGGTGCCAAACATGTTCAATGCCTTAAAACTGTATGCCCTAGATATTTTGCATAATTATCACAGACGTATTCCTTTTGTAGATTCAAGCTTTTTAGAACCTCAATTAATTGTTTTTTGGTATAATCTTCGTGAAAATAAATGTGCCTATCCTACATGTAGTTTTGGATTGTTGCTTTTGTGTCACATGAGGAAGGGGTTTTAGTCAACTGCGATAACTTGCATTGTCCATTACAATTACGCTATTAGGATGAATGTTTGGAACTAGTTTGTTTTTAAACCAACTTTCAAATAAATCAGCGGTGGTGTTTTCATGGTAATCCAGAGAATTTTTAATATTTTTCGCAGGCAGAGAAAGTCCATTTGGAATCCAACCATCTTTAGAGCCAGCATGCAAAATAGTTATTCTTTTACCTCTTTTTGATGGCGCGTTTGTTTTACACTTATCAATTGAGTCAACCTAACCCTTTTCCGTAAGTGTTGAACCAGGTAAAAACCAAGTTCTCTGTAAATACCATTTTTTTCTAGATATTCCAGTCGCCATTTCCGAATTCTAAAAGATTTCATTCAAACTTGCCTTTTGTCAATTTTTTTAAATCTAAAACCCATGTGTTGAATACACTTCCATAAGGTAGTTCTGCCACATTTAACGCCGGTTTCATCTTTTTCAAGCCTCCTAATTAAAATATGTAATGGCACGCTTTGTTCCTCGTACGACTAGTAAATTTTACGCCGTATTATATCTTGATCACTTTCATCTACACTCGAGAAAATGTCAGCGTCGCTTCTTTTTTTCCTCGCTGAAATGGGATTATTCACAATTTTCCATACAGTTGATGTTGGAATTTTCGTCAATGTGGTCGTTTCTTCTAAAGATACTTGCTGGCTGGCACCATGTTCAATGAGAGTCAAATAAACATTGTTTATAACTTCCTTAGTCTCAATAGAATAGTGTATTCTACATTTGGGCGGGAGCATCTCCTGAGATACCTAGACTCGCACATATTTTGCATAATTCGTACTCGATTCAACACACGAAATAAGAATGATTACTAATAAACTTAAACTAAGTAGTATACCAAACCAAAGAATATTAAACACTTACTTAATATTAAGAACTTACGAGTCAGGCGATCGGAGCGGTTCAAAGGAACGGACGTATCTATCTATATTTAATCTCTAGTAATTTCCGCGTGTATAGTATTTAAGCGTGGTTACTGACAATATTTTTTATACAAGTGACAATTACACACAAGTATCTCTGACATTTTTGCGGTTAGTTAATTAAACGTTAGGAGCTGGCAATTAAAAAATTAAAATTAACGCACCACGTTTTTAATTAATTTTGGAAATTCATATAAAAAGGAGAATATATGTTTTTATTGTAAGCTGTTATAGTACATACTTTCCAAATTTATACAGTTATTTTTTTTTATCTTAAGTTTGTTTATTTTCTTGGAATTCAGATAAATAACATACTTCGTTTTTGTAAGTTTTATTGCTTGACTCCGGAGCATCATTAAGCAAGGTTAAATTTTGCTGGAGAACACATCTATTGGGCCTATGAAGTCTGTGCAAAGAAAAAATCATTCAGGCTGAAGCGGCAGGCAGTTCTAGTAAAAAACTAAGAAAGTCAAAATTTGGAGGTTTGGATCCGGCAATGTTGCAGTGGTTCCAACAGCAACGTCTTAAAAATGTTTCACTTTCTGGACCTATCGTAATACTAAAAGTAGAAAAGTTTGCTGAACAACTTGGCATTATCGATTTTATGGACAGACAAGTGGCGAAGTTCGTGATGTCGACAGAAAAGTCACTAACGACTGGCTGGAGAAGACGTGGCCAAAACTAGCAGAAAAGTACCCTACTGACAACATTTTTAATGCTGACGAAACTGGTATTTTTTACAAAATGAGGCCAGATAAAACTCTTAAATTTCGAACCGAAAAGTGTGTGGGTGGAAAACTTTCTAACGAACGTATAACAGTGTTATTGGCTGCCAATGTGAGTGGGAGAGAAAAACGAAACCTAGTCGTGCTTGGAAAATCAACTAACCCACGATGTTGTAAGAACATCAAGCATTTGCCGGTCACTGACAAGTCAAACAAGTCTGCATGGGTCACATCGCAAATTTTTGAAGAGGAGATACGGAAATGGGATGCCGAATTAAAGGTGAGGAAAATATTACTGCCCTGCCCTGCACATCTCCATATTCCAAATTTATGGAATATTGAATTGGCATTTCTTCCAGCCAAAACAACAAGTGTATTACAGCCGCCGTAATAAAAAGTCTTAAGAGTCGATACAGGAAAAACATTACAATGGAAATAATTGAGTCCGAAGACAAATTTTCAGTCAACTTTATTAGTAAAGCTTGGAGAGAGGTGACAACAGAAACAATTCAACACTCCTATCGTCATGCAGGACCTATTACCGAAACAGAATGCGAACGGGACTTGGAAGATGATCAGCCACTAAGCAAGTGGATAAAGCAGTTTCAAACAACAATTACGTTTACAAGTGAGGAGTTGCAAGATTTTATGGTGATAGATCAAAATTTGCCTACAACAGCAGACTTAACAGAGGAAGCCATATTACAACAAGCAAGAAAGGGTGAGGAAGAGCGCCAAGAGGACGAAGAAGATGTAGAAGTTGATCTGGGACCACCAACAAGCCCTATATTCAGTTGAGCTGTTAGAGAAATTTTTTATGTATCATGGGGAAGATACCCCTCTCGAAGAAATGGTGAAAATACAAGCCAAAGTACGAGATGCGTATTGGCATACTAAAAAAATTCAAAAGAAAATGACCGATTATTTGAAACATTAAATGTAGTTAAATATTTATATAAAACGTAAGTAGATGTTAAAATATGTGTATACAATAATTAAATATTACAGAACACATATGCTTATTGTTATTTTTCAAGTGCCTATAACTCTTTATAACGAAAGAAAAGCAGTCCTTTCAATTTCGCTATATAGAGTTTCCACTCTAATTTGGGTAAAAATAGAGGAAGAAATTATTATATATTTTAAACCCACGTTATTTTTTATCTTTGTTTGTTTTTTTTTTCTTAATACTCTTATTAAGGTAGAATAAGAATGTATTTAATTAAAACATAAAAATATTTGATGAGTATTAATAAAAAATATTTTGCGAAATATAGTAGTGGTGCAAAAAATCCAAATATGGAATAATATATAGGGGGTTCCATTTAAAATAAATATTTTAACCGGATTGGTATCACCAACATTAGTTTAATTTTAAATTTCCATAATTTTGCTACTTATGGTTTTTCCGCAACAGATCAAGTTCCCGGTGCATATTTGTTGAAAATGTTGGTTGCAATGGAAATAATGTCTGTTTGAGTAAAAATGAGCCTATTTTTTTATGTCGGCATTGTTTAATTTTCCGATGTACTTGGTAATTTTTTATAGATTCGAGAGATCGTCAATGATATTCTGGATTCCGATGATGAGATAATGCACATAGCTCTCTATGAGTGGATGATTTCCAAACAGATGACCAATGACATTATAAGGATCAATAAGTCCTCCCTTGAACAGTATCTCAAAAAATCTTCTGCGCAGACTTCGGACAACTTACCCGTAATGGATCTGCTATGGAAGTTTTATGAGAGTAACAATAATCATGCAGCCGCTGCTAAAATATTGAACAATTTGGCCACGAAATCGGGGTAATCTAATTCTGGTTCCGCAGTTAGAAGGTTTTTTTTGTTTTCATATTGTAGGAGCAGCATTACTTTGAAAGAAAGGCTCACCTACCTTGCGAGAGCTATCATGTGTATGAGAAGCGACAAAGTAGGCTACGCTCCATATTTGGGCGTGTTTTTACGAGATTTGGAAGATAAAATGGAAGTCGCTAAAGTACAGGATCTCATTCTTGATGACATAACAAACCTTCGTAACGAAACTCCTAGTGCCGGCGAAGCTATAGCTGCCTTGAACTCGGGATTGTACGAAATTTCTCAGCTCTATGAGAATTTTGCCGAACCGTTTCAGCTGCTGGAATGTCAGCTGGCTATTATCGATTGCGCCGGCTATACGGACAGCGATAACTCTTTAGTTAAGTCTATTTGGCAGAAAATTATAGCCAATGAGCTGAGGAAATCATCTGGTAGCGGTACGGACAGAATGACTCAGGTGATGGGCAAAGTTAAGCACTTAGCGAGGCAGTACGTCCGCTCCTCCAACTGTTTTCCCTTGGGTGAGTCGAAGGCGAAGTTTTTTTTGTCTCATTTTTAATTTTTTCATTTATTCATTCTTCCTGCGTCGGTTGTTGGTAAATCTATCTTGCTGACGTTTCGTCAATCATCACCATCTGTAGCTGCTTATATATTGTTTGAGAAGGCGGAGCTAAAGGAGGAGCATGAACATTATCTCGCATGACGTTATTATTCTTTTTTTTTTTAAAGGCTGGGCTCTCGTATGTACTTCTATTTGAAATATAAATGTTAATAACATTATACAGTGAGCCGCTAAAATACCACACAAATTCATTTAAAAGTCAAGCATTGGGTTCCAATAAAAATGCATACTTCCATCATAATTTTTTTGTGCACTCGACAGAAAATGTCGACACTATGGGTCCAAAAGTAAATATCGATACCCAGTTCCTTTTTTAAAATGGAACACCATTTTTTTAAATTCATTTTCGTGTAGCATATCCTATAAATACCTCTTACTTTTTATAAGAAAAAAAACAAAAAAAAAATAAATTTTCAATTGAACAGGTAAGTAGCTAGTACAAGTAAATTGTAACAATTTAACATTTTTGTCAGTAAAGAATGACGCCCACAGAATTGAAATTTTTATTTTTATTGGACATGGACGCATAACGAGAATTCAGGAAGTTTGTAATTTTTTAACGCAAGATATCTAGAAAGACCAATTACAAGATTCACAGTGTGTAAAATTGAGGGAAAATGTATATAAATAGAGCATGATCGACTACGGCCAGATCATCCAAAAATTAATGAGAACACAAGATTAAATAGTTTATTAGAATTGAACTAAGGTGGCTTTTACTTGATGAAAATCCATTTAACAAAATAAATAAGAACTAAAATTTCATATTTTCACAAAATTATATATTTTCACATGACAATTGTTTCGACAACACCGTGTCTTTATCAAATGTAATATTTACAAACTACATGCTACTATATATACCGAAAAATGACCATAAAACCATAATTAATATTGTTGTGAGAATTTAAGTTTAATAATGGAGAGGTATTTAAATCTAATTGATCGTTAAGTAATACATTTGAATGTCTCATTTTGTTAATCTCTATGGCTTCCAATGAATTTAATTTTCTAGTTTTTGTTTGCTATATGTAAAATACCAAAATTCTGGTCAAAAATGTGTTTTTCTGTGTTTAAGTGTGTAGCGTAATTAGAATCTAGACTATTGTTTTTAAACGCTCTTTTATGTTCGTTAATGCGTTTCTTGAAGGATCTACCTTTTTGTCCAATACAAATTTTAGGACAAGATCCACATTTCAACCTGTAGACACCTGATTTTTGGGATTTTGAACATTTCGTTTTATTGTTTTTTAAAAAATTTCTTATTGTGTTGTTAGTTCTGAAAGATATTTTTAAACCACATTTTGACAAATGTTTTGAAACTTTTTCACTGTGTTATCCTATGTATGTAATTGCTTTAAATTGTTCTTGTTCTGTATTAGATTTCGGTTAAACAGAGTTTATCATTAGAGAAATTATTAGACAAATTAATTTCTAATACAAAATATCTAACAGCAAGCCAGTTATTAAAAAATATACCGACCACCAATTTTACAACAGGTTCATAAACTTAACAGACACAACATTTTCTAAAAATGAAGTTGAATTTCTGGAAAAAGGTTTCAACTTACAGCACTCAAACATTAATAGAGAATTAGACTGTTTACGGATTGACTGTGAATTAGCAATTAAGGACATTAACGATTCTAATTCAAACAAACAAGTATTAGCGAATATAATAAACTCTCAATTAATAGATAACAACAAACACCAAGAAATTTCTCAAATGTCACTAGTAAAAACTATCAAAAACAAAGCTTGTGAAAATAACATAATATTTACACGTGCAGATAAAGGAAAGACAGTCATAGCTATCGATTTCCCAGAATATATTTCAAGAACCAACAATTTTCTTAAACCAGAACTTTTCCAATGTATCAAACACTATCCTACCGAGTTATATCAAAGACAAGTCAAGGAAGTAATTACTGACTCCACACTATTTAGTGACAAAGACAAGTATTTTTTCACACAATTATGAATCCACAACCGCCGAAATTAAATTCTTTAGTTAAATTACATAAACAAGATATGGCCATTAGACCAGTCGTGTCTTATGTAACAGCTCCTGCAGTTAAACTCTCAACAAAATTAGTGAATAATTTAAAGTCCCGCACAGATTTTAAACCAAAATTTGCAAAAAAAAATCTTTTCAATTAATCGACAAAATTAAAGATATCAAAATCCCTTCTAATGCAACACCATTGTTTTTTGATGTACAAAACTTATTTCCCAGTATTCCACCCGTGGATGTTATAGATTTAGTAGATTTCATCCTCACTCGGAAACAGGTTGGTGAAACAAGATCTATTAGATTGCTTAATAGTATCTTTAGGCCAAAATTATTTTGAATTTAATGGACAGATTTACATCTCTAAGGAAGGTTTGATTATGCTAAACTCACTTAGTATTTTGTTAACCGAGATTTTTATGGATAATTTGGAAAATATTATACTAGAACATCCTTTAAATAAAAGTTTTCTATGGTGGTCGAGATACGTGGATGATGCCTTAGCTTGCTTTGTTGTAACGGACGGACAATTGAATTCTTTTTTAAATTACATTAACTCATTACATAATCCTATAAAATTCACTATCCAGATTGAACAGAATAACTCTATTAATTTCTCAGACTGAACTATTACGAAAACGCAAAACAAATCAGATTTTTCCATTTACCATAAACCTTCACAAACGGACACAGTCATACATAACAGCACAAATCACCCTTATACACATAAAATGGCTGCATTTCACTCTTTTATACACAGGCAGAAAATTACAACAAAGAACTCAATATCATTAAACAAATTGCACCGAACAACCGCTACAATCCGTCCGTTATCGATAAAATTATAAATAAAAAACAAGTCCAGACAACAGTAAACCCTATACGAAAACTAATACAGAACACGAACAATTGAAAACAACTATATACATAGAAGAACGCAGTGAAAAAGTTTCAAAACATTTGTCAAAATGTGGTTTAAAAATAGCTTTCAGAACTAACAACACAATCGGAAAATTTTGTCCTAAAATTTATATTGGACAAACAGGTAGATCCTTCAAGAAACGCATTAACGTACATAAAAAAGCGTTTAAAAACAATAGTCTAGATTCTAATTATGCTACACACTTAAACACAGAAAAACACAGTTTTGACGACATTTTTGATGTTTTACGTACAGCCACAAAAAGTGGAAAATTAAATTTATGAAATCCATGGAGATTAACAAAATGAGACATTGAAATGTATTGCTTAACGATTAATTCGATTTAAATACCTCTCCATTATTAAACTTAAATTTTCACAACAACAATTAAGGTTAAATTGTCATTTTTCGGTATATATAGTAGCAAATAGTTTGTAAATATTACATTTGATAAAGACACGGTGTTGTCGAAACAATTGTCATGTGAAAATATACAATTTAATGAAAATCTGAACTTTTAGTTTTTATTTATTTAGTTTATTAGAAGTTTGAGTTGAATATAAGTTTTGTTCAAATGGTACCATAAATAAAGAAAATTGTGGGTATTGGGCTACAAATAATCACTGACGGAAAGTAATCTAAATGTTTGCTCAGAGATTTTAAGTAACAAATTTATTGGACCTTATTTCTTCAAAATGATTGAATTCCGACTCTCGCTAAGCCAAACATAAACAGATTTGATTTCAACAGAATGGTGTTCCGCTTTTTGATCAAGAGTGAAGTGGATTTGTCGAAGGGGATGAATAGAATGACCTGTAAAATTTTCAGGTATTAATCCAGTGAATTTAAAAATCAAAAGTGTATAACCATAAAATTTGGATCATTTAAATTTCAGAATTAGATATGAAATAAGGCAAATTATGATATAGGTGTGTTATATGAATTCTGCATGAAATTTGACGCTGAATTCGTAAATGGATTAAAAAAAAAAGTTAAATTTAAAAAAACTACTTGGTATGTTTTCTGTTTACTTCAATTACTACACAATTATGGTGGACGTGTGCGAGAATTTTTCTTGTAATACAATACCTGGTTTTTAATTTTTTTCATATTTTAGTTGTCCAATTTATTTGCAACTAAGATGCCAAAAAAACTGATAAAATAAAAGATACTTGGATGAAATTTAAAAAAGGATAGACCTAAATCACATTTGCTACACATTGTATGGAAACTCAATGAACTTTGCCTACGCAACCATTTCTTTTATTATCATGAGTTTCAACAACCAATTAATGCAGTCCATCATATCTTAAATCATCCGACATTCTGTGCTATGGCAGGCTAGTTTTTGCAGTTTTAGGTTATTTTCCAGACTTATAGGTTACTTTGTACTTTCCCTTCGAAATTCTAATTGCGATTGCCTTCTGCCAGACTGTATATTTGATAGCCGTTCCTTGTTGTGACATCCACAAACCATGTGAAAATAAGCACACCCCTTTTAGAGGGTTTTACTTGAAATGTGGGTGAGATAGCATGATATTTCTCTTTCACTCATCCCTTAATATGTTCCCTTTTAATTTTTTCTGAGGGTTTCTCTGTACACATTGGTACTGTCAACACACAATATGCCCGCCCACAAAAAAGAAATTCTAGAAAAATGGAATCTCCTTATGGTGCGTCGTCAGATCTGTTTTCAGCCACTATGCCTGTCGATTCCTATTGCATTCTGAGCATTCGTTTATATAACCACATTTTCAAATACTTCTAGACGGTTGAATGTGGCAGCTTTTAGTATGCAGCGATCAGTACAATAGCACAATCCAAATTTAAAATTCAATTGTTCTTTGTCTTAGCTTTAAGTTCAGACTGTCGTTACAAAACAGTGACTTCATCTTCTGCAATGTTGGCTGATTCAATCCTACATCTAATTTCGTTATGATGTAGATGACGTAGATGAGATATTTAAAATTGGATCCTCTCTCAACATTCTGTCAATTTATCTGTAGTGACGGTTAAGTTACGTCCGGCGGCTAAAAATAATCTTTGTCTTTGCAACCTTTATATTCAGTCCCATTTGCTGTCTCACTAACACAAAATGATCATATCATCAACAAAGCGAATGGTATTAATCAGTTCACCATTGATTTTCACTAGAAATTCGTAATATAGGTTGAACAACAGTGGAAACAGGACACGTCCTTGTAGAACGCCTTGCTAGATTTGTGTAAATCTTCCATTGACTCAAACAACTAAATTCTGGTGTCAGTATAATTTCTTCATAGTATACAGAGCAAACATTGATTCTATGGTACCAAGGGCATTTTAAAACCGAACTGCGTCTCAGCTAAATCCTTTTGGCATATGCGTCTAATATCTTAGTGTATGGCTCATCAGGCTTATCAATATGTGATCATTACACCAATTGTTCTTTTTTGGGAATTTCTCCCGTGTCGTATTTATCATTAAAAAGTGTTCATTGATAATTTGATAGGATGCAATGACTAATATTTACTACATGTTTTTACGAGGGAACCAACTATTTCTACTTTTGAAGGCGCTCCGGTATTGACGAAATAAATTTTGAAATTACACACACATATTTTCTAGAAAGTTCGCAATGAACCTAAAATGTACTTTCTGAAAAGACTATGTTTTCCGTTTCCATGTGGTATCGTCAATTTTTGATGGGTTGAGCACTCTCTACCTGTTTATTTATTTAAATCTCTTAGATTACATTGTTGGTGAACTGGAAATGATTAACGCAAGATTAAGGGGTGACAAAGGTTTAGTTCCCAATTCTCTCGTTTCCATGATGATTCCATTCGACAACATAATCGAAGTCTACAACAAGTAAGTTTTGTCCCATTGACCTTGCCTTGGTGTGTATATAATTTGTTTCTAGTTTGATCACCACGGCTACAAATCTAGATTTTTGGCAAGTGGAAGAAAATGAATTTCACCTTGCTGAATCAACAGCGTGCTTAATTACAAGTTTCCTCAACACACACGATACATTTAACAGTGTGGATAAGTACGTAATAAGCAAATCGAATCTTTAATAGGATTAAAAAAGCACTAGTTTTTTTTTAGGAGAAAAATTACGTCATTGTGTCAGGATACAGTTGCAACTCTACTGTCAAATCTATACAGTAAACCTAACAGTGATCACCTAGTGAACCAACTCAGGAGTATACAAGCGAGGCTCTCGCGAATTTGAAAAACCTAATCATCCCATTTCTTAACTATTGTTATAATAGTACTGATTAGGTTTACAATGTCCTTTTTTATTTACAAATTTTTTAAAAATATTGTTCGTGTGACTTCAACTTTACTTGTTTTTCAATAAAATGGTATTTTTAGTATTATCTTAACTTTTCTTGAATTATGGTATTGATGGTTGTCTTTACAAAATTATACCGTCCTGCGTGACAAAAGAAAGTGAAGTTTAAGTGTCAGCTAGCTAATAATAAATGCAATACGAGAAAACAATGATTTTTTAAATGTCATTAATATTCAAAAAAATGGTGAAATTGTAAAAACAAGTTAGATAATGAATACCCATACACTTTGAAAGATTTATTTTTAAAAAAATTTTCACTTTTATATCACTCGATAATGTAGAATAGCAACTAAAAAATACGGCAAATTGTGAAAAAAGGCGCATGAATAAATTGAACATTTGAAACGTCAACGAATTAAAAAGTGATCCCATATAGCTACACCAATAATACAAGAACTTATGCAACTAATATTTTTTGAAAATGCCTATTGAAAAATCTCGTTTTTGCGATATTCAACAACCAACATGGACGCTGACAAATCGTCAATAAATTTGGGTGCGGCATTTTTACGGCAATATTTTCTTAAAAAATGCCTAGATTTCGTTAATTATTCTGGAAAAATGAACTGGGCGTGTGGATATTGCTCTTTAGGAAGAAAATAGTGTAGGTTAGTGGGTGAAATGCAGAAGCATGTGCGATAATTTATCCCGTTTTCTACGGAAATATTTACGCATCAGTTTTTACCTTAGTAGAGTCACCATATCGTCAATGAAATACAACTGATGTAAACAAATTCTACATTGCCAATTCTTATAATAATTTTATTTCATTTTCTTAGTCGCTATGATGCGAATCACCTGGCTTCCTTCACGTACAGAATAATATATGGTGACTAATAAAACATTCCATTTTTTCTGGAGATTAAACACAGAAACGTGCGTTCCTAAGACGTTTCACCGTGCAACTTAATTTTCATTGGCAACACTGCCCTGGTAACGGCATGCACGCATTGTATATTTATTGCAAATCGAACTTATCATGCACATATATTTTATTCTAGACACATTTTATATAAATAACATTCTTTATTAAGACTAATAAACAAAACCCGACTGACCGCACATGGGGTTCTGTGGCGCCTCTAAATCCAAAAAACGTATTGGTTGGTAGATATTTACCTTTCAAGCTCTTTGCTAAAGCTAAACCTCTTCATACAGTTTGAGGCTAATTTAACAAAGCTTACAAAAGAAGTAGAAACTTCAAGAGGCATAAAGTCGCATTATGCGAGTTCCCATGACCAAGGGCCCATTGCCCGTGAGCAAGCCCACTCTAGAAAAAGAAGAAGAAAGGTGATTTCGCGAGGAAAGGTTATGTTTCACATTTAAGAGAAATGAACAGCAAAATAAAGACTAGGAAGGAAAAAAGGCTAAGAAAACTTATTAACAAGTCAGATTCTGATGAAAACGAAAGTGAACACGAATTATCGTTTTACGTTAAAGATAGAGTTAAACTCATGAAGCAGGTGCTAAGCATAATAAAGCCAAAGAAAATAAAAAGTATGGCTCCTGATTGTATTAAAGTACATATATAATAAACTCACCATAAAGGGTCCTTTAATTAATTGACTTCTAGGATATGGAAATTGGAGAAATCAATTCCATGCTCCTGGAAGAGTTGCTAGGGATATCAAACAAAAGGCTCAAGTATATATTTGAGGGGAAAAATTTAGAGGAGGATAGCAGTAGTACTGAAGATGATAAATCACCAGATGTTATATCTTTGGATGATATTAGCGATGATGATTTTGTTATTGAAATAAACTCTGGTACATTTCCATTATTGAATAATCTTGCAAATTATACTGTCGTTTTTAGATGAGGAACCAAAGACAAAGAAAAGTCAAAAACATACATTTAAAAGGGAACCTAGATCAAAAAAAATAAAGAAGGAAAGGTCAGAAAAAGTTGTGTCAAAGCCTAAGCAAAATGAACCAATTGGGGAAGAGAATTTAATGAGTGTGTTGGAGTTGCTTGAACTACAAGCCAGAGCTCGAGCTATTCGATCACAGCTGGCATTGGAAGCAAATAGAAAAGAACAGGATGAAGAAAAGAAAACACAAACGGATTTTGAAAAAAATGATGATGAAGAAGATGCAGTTATTGTAGAAGTACCTAAGGAGGAAATTGTTATTACATCTAGTGAATCTGAAAATGAAGATAGGATAGAAAAACCAGATGAAGACCTACAAAACAAAGTTGAGGGCAACTCTAACACTATAGGTGACAAAAATGAACAAAATGAACCAAATTTTGGAGATATACCAATTCCTTCAACTGCAAATGAGGCTGAAGACAAAAATGTTGTTGATGGTGCCTCAAGTAAAAGCGACAAAAGTGAAAAACATATTACATCATTGGAAGGTAGTGAAAACTCTGGCAAGATTAAAAGTACTAGAGGCAATGTGCAAAACCAAGATGATCATAAACTGAACACAGAAAATTCAAAAGAAATTAAGTTGCGTCGCTTTAAGAGTAAACTAGAAAGTTTTAAGAAAGATATCCTTGATGAAGATAAATCTGTGAAAATTATAGACAGCATTGTGATTAAGCCACTGGATTCATCTGGCCAAAAGTCTAGAGACGACAATGATGGTCTTGTCATTAATGTGGATCAAGATGATATTGACTGTATTATTAGTGATTAAAATTTGTTTGGGAATGAACATGATAAAATATAATATTCTATACATAATAATTTATTAAGTATTTTAATCATAACACAGAACTACCTAAGAATGAAGGTAGGCAGTACGGAAAGTGTGATTAAAAAAGCCCAAAATTATAACTTAATGACAAACATTAATATTATTTAACACAATTGTTTATTTTAACAAAAAAGCTTTTTTTCAGATACTCTTAACATCCCAGAGGTTGTGAAGCAACACATCTAAAAACTTCCTAAACCTTACAAAAGAAAAGTATATGGGAACAAACTTTGGACAAACTCAAAAACCATTCTTGTCTATTCAAGGACACAATTGAAAGAAGCACAGTGACGTGAATTGTTTTGAATTTAGTAAATTTTTAGCTGGCAAACTAATCGATAAAGCTTTGTTCCACGCATGCTTTGACTCTCTTTTCATATTCTCTTCGGTTTTCTTTGTAAAGCTGTGCGGCCATTGAATTCGCAGGAGAATTTGGATTTGGGTCGCTAAGTAAAGACTAAAATATAAAATATTACATTAGATATAGAAATATGATTTGACTCAGAAGTTTTATTTGACACTTCCCTGGTTAAAAAAAAATATGTTTTTATTGCTACATGAAGCACTAAACTTTCAAATTTTTCGCTAACTTAAGAACAGAATATTTAAAAACAAGAAAGTATACAGTATAATTCCTTTTAACAGTTCTTTTACACACTTAACTGAATTTATTTAATGAGTTTTTCAAATTGTTGATTTTACTAGAATATCCATAACAATGAGCAAATATTAATGTTAGTAGTTAAGAAGAATACTGTACCTCATTTTAAATTAAACTTTCACTTTTAAAGATGTTTTCCTATAGTGTTTACATTAACAAATGTAGCATGTATTAAGGAAATAATCACAATTGCTAAATATTTTAACTTAAGCCTTGATAATGTTCATATCTGGCTTCTAAACAAAAAAGACATTGAAGGCTTTTCTTTACCAAGGTTACTGGGCAGATAATGACCTACTTATTATGATTAGATACAAAACTTACTTGGATAGACGTTAATATAGCTGAAACATCATATGTTGGGCTCCATCTATTTTGTAAAATATCTAGGCAGATACCTCCATCCGCATATACATTTGGATGAAACATATGACTAACAAAACGAACCGTTGGTGGTTTATTTGGATACTCTTCAGTAAATTCAATAGTTAACTTAAAGGTTCCATCTTCAAAAGGGGTATCGTGTGGACCAAATATAACGGCGTTCCATATCATTATGTTATTGTCAGTCGGTGCTCCACTGACACCAGTAGGTGGATCTTCTTGTAAACTAAAAGCAGGGATTTTTGAGCGCATTGTGCTATTAATGAAATCACTATGTAAATGGAGAAAATCAATGCGATATTAACACAAGCCCATATCATGATATACACACCGTTTGAAATCTCTCATAAGGCGTCGTCTGGCTGGTGTTGACATTGTATAATGCAATAAAATAAATTTAAAGTCTAGCTAAAATCGCAAATCACTGACTAAATTTTATGATCACGGCGAATTTTTTTATTTATATAAAATAAGAAATGACTGAATCACACGATACTTTTCACGAACTTGCATGACATGACAGACGACAAAGGACGATTATAAACAAAAATAGCACTAAAATTGGGAATTTTAGATGACGGTCACCTATATGGTGGAATTTCTGAGAGGTACGCACTGCGTTGTTAGAACTGCGTTTATACACCACAGAATAAATCTTTATGTTACATAACTGTGCATAAAACGCAATACTTAAGGATGTAAACTTGATGAATGGCTCCTCTCTGTGGTAAGTCAATGCAAATGATATTGTTTCCATTAAAAATTAACGTAATGTCGTCCTTCGAGTTCAGTTCGGGACGAGCCGCGAATATGAATAGAATGCAAATTCTACGGAAAACTTGGCTTTTAATATCAAAAACATTAAACCATGTGTGGACTAAGAGCGATGGATCTGTTAGAAAGAAGAAGAGCCTCTGTGGTTGACCTTGAGTGGCTGGCATGAAAAATTTTTGATTACAAGGTAAGCAGTCTTAAAGTTTCTAATTAATTATAGGTATTGCAAAAATTTATGATTAAAATGCGATCTATTCGCAGCATTTTTCGCAATTTTTGGCGGACTTCACCGAGTAGGTTATTCGCAATGGATATGGAAGTTGACGAAAACTATTTGTATTATTCACATGAAAAACTGTTACGTTTTATTGATATTCATGGAGATCAGGAGGGAATTACTGAATATTTAAGGACCGTAAAATATGCTTCTGTTAAGGACTTTAAGCCAGGTGCGTATTTGATTTAATGAAACTATATAACTAGTCCGATGTGATAATTTTTTAGGATTGGAGTGGTTTAATGTTTCTGAACCTTTGTCGTTTAGTAAACATTTAAAGGGAAAAATAGTGATACTAGATTTTTTTACATATTGTTGCATTAACTGTATGCACATTATCCCTGATTTAAAGGAAATTGAAAATGAGTTTTCTGTGGAGGATGGGTTAGTTGTTGTAAGTAATATTGAATGTTTAAATATGTGAAATTATAATGTCGCTCTGGTTTTCAGATTGGTGTGCATAGTGCTAAATTTGAGAATGAAAAAAATTCTGAAAATATTTTAGCTGCTGTACAGAGATATAATATTACTCATCCAGTTGTAAATGATTCTGATTCAGATATGTGGCAAAATTGTGATGTACATTGCTGGCCAACCTTGTTGATTTTGGGACCTAACGGAAACCCAATTGTGATGTTGACGGGGGAAGGACACAAGGAAGATCTGCAGTCTTATGTAAAAGGGGCTTTAGAATACTATAAGTAAGTTTTTTTTCCTGTTATCCCTTGCATAGTTATAAATATAATTTAAACTCAGAAAATATGTTTTTATTGGCAACATATTTTTAGCAAAGAGAAATTAATATCAAATCACAAGCTGCCTTTCAAATCAGCATATCATTTACTACCTGATCTGAAAGGTCCATTACTTTTCCCAGGAAAAATCACTAATTATATAGATGAAAATGGGCATGAAACTTTAGCAATATCAGATACGGGTAATAATAGAATTTTAATAGTAGATAGTGATGGAAACATAACAAAAGTGATTGGTGGTATGAGACTAGGATTTAAAGATGGTAATCTAGAAGATGCGGAATTTAATAATCCACAAGGTTTAACGTTTCAGAGTAAAGATGTCTTATATGTGGCTGATACTGAAAATCACTCTATTAGGAGAATTGATTTAGCTACAGGCACAGTAGATACTGTTGCAGGTAAAATAGGTTTGAAATGTGTAAAAGCCCTTATGCATTCGACTATTTTGTAAAGGAACTGGTAGACAGGGTCATGACAAAACAGGTGGAAAACCAGGAAAACAGCAAGCAATTTCTTCACCATGGGACCTTGTACTTTACCGTACACCAGATATGGACCTTACTTTTCACCCAGATGGCAAACCCCCGGTACGAGATGTACTCATTATCGCAATGGCAGGCACACACCAAATATGGGCCTTATTTTTAGATGATACTGTCTGGTGGAAATGCAAGAAATACCTCGCAGGTATATAAAATGTGAACAATGGACTGTTGCAGAGCTTATCAATAACATACAGAATGTGTTTAGCTCAAAAACTTATTTTCAGGCACTTGCATAAATATAGCAGGATCAGGCAGAGAAGAAAATCGCAACAATAACTATCCACACGCCGCTGCTTTTGCTCAACCCTCTGGGTTAGCATTATGTGAAAAAAAAAGGGAACTTTACATTGCTGATAGTGAAAGCTCTAGTATACGACGGTTGTCTCTAGTTGATGGTAAAGTGACACCTGTGGTTGGAGGTGACAGAAACCCAAATGTAATGAGGTATTAACTTCTAAAATATTTATGTACATGTTTTTGCATTGCAGAATCTGTTTGCCTTTGGCGATAAAGACGGAATCTTGCATGAAGCAAAACTGCAGCATGCTCTTGGAGTGGCTGTCACCCCTGATGAAAGAAATCTTTTTATTGCTGACACCTATAACCACAAACTTAAGAAAGTAGATTTGTCGGAGAATAAAATTGTTACTTTGAAGTCTGCAGCTTCGGATATGACTGACAGTGCTACATCACAGTTTAGAGAGCCAGCTGGTCTGTGTGTGAGCAGTAATGGTAAAAAACTTTATGTGGCGGACACGAATGCTCATCAAATTAAACTAGTCACCATTGGAAAAAATTCAATCAATAATGTTGAAATGTTTTCTCTAAAACTAAAAGAAAAGTTTGTCAACACTGTATCTAGCATTTCAACAGCTTCTGTTCTGACAGCAAGAGAATTGAAAATTAACACCAGTGGAGGAAAGTTAGTACTGAAATGTAATCTCAAATTTGAGAATGGACTTGGTTTGAACTCGGAAGGAGTTCAAAGGTGGGTTATCAATTTGCCTGAGCCCACGTGGTCTTGCGTCCCTAAAAATGGCCAAGATGTTAAAATGATGGACACAGTGATAAGTGTGCCACCCCACAAGAATAACAATAATATTGACGTGTCCTTTAATTTGGTCACTTGTACTACCAATGCATGTTTGCCAAAGAATTTTATAGTCAGAATACCTGTCTTTTTTGAAAATTCAGCTAGCATTAATGTTGAACGTGTAGTGGATGTCGTTTTGGACACAAATAATATACGAATTGGATGAACGAACTATCAAAGTGTTTAGAAATTGATTGACCAATTTGGTGCTTACATAAAATTTTTACAAAGCCTGGTTTGGCATGGGATGTTGTGGTTTTATAATGCAACGGTTGAAATATGTAATTTTTCATGAATTTATAAATAACATATGACAAAATAAATAAAATCGCATTTTCTTTTCTCTTCGGACATTAACTGGGGCAAAACTGGAACTGGCGCTGTTTGTCAACAATTTTCGATTACGTCCAAATATGCAAAAGGTTGAAGGCCATGATCATCTGGTGGGATTCAAAGTTAATCACTGAACTCTGATAACGGTTATGTTATCAAAGCTTTAAGCACTTTTTCCTTATTTAAGTAGACTTTAAATTAGGCATTTTTCAATTATTGTGGATATTTTAACAAAATACCTTTAAAAAATGATACTAACCTACCTTCAGGAAGGATGAGGAGTTCGTGAGTCTCCAAAACAACTTTAAATTTTTAAAATTTCGTAGATAAATGATTTTTTCGCACATGCACTTGAACTTCACACACTAACCTAAACATTTCTTTCTAAACAGCGATATGCACACTTAACTCGTTCTCCCAGAACAATTAACAAAATCGTCTCAAATTTTGAGAAAATACTGCCGTAAAAATGCTACATCTAAACTAAAAAATCGAATTGACCAAGCGTCAACGGCCATGTTAGTTGCTGATCGCGGCTAGTTCTTATTGGTTGGTTTGAAATGACAGATGTTATTGAAGGGATGGTTACCTGTATAACCAGAATAGGTAGGGCATTTCATATAGCTATTAGCCGTACTAGGGCAAAAACTGATGCGCCGCAGCCGGCATTGATTTTTTCGTAGAGGTTTTTCGCGCATTGTACAATTACCCACTAACCTGCATTTGCGCCGTTTTCTCTCTAAACGACGATTTCCACAAACTTAACTCGTTTTCTCAAAACATTTAACGAAATCAAGACATCTTTTGAGAAAAGTCTACCTGCTATTGTCAACATAACTAAAAACATCTATGCTTAATCCATTATTAAATTTAAATCTTATTTGAAAGGAAAGTTTTAGGGCGAGTGTTCGAACATTTTCGGAAATAAATGTCGCAAACTCAAATTATCTTGCTCATGTACCTAAATGGAAAAATGTGGTGTTTCCGTTTTGAATTACATATTTACCAAAATCATGAAAGACTACTATAGAGATATCATTGCTAATAATATTTATACTTATATAACGTCTATTTATATCAGTTAATTATTTATATATTCGCGCGCCCAACGACTTCGCTTTTCGACTGATCGACCTTAAACCCTTTGCGTCACCTTTAGAGAATGCAAGGCTTTCTCGTGTTGGAAGTTGAATATTCCATTGACATGGAGCACGCGAAAATCGAAGAATCTCCTGTGACGTCACGATGCACAGAGGGTAAATTTTTAATTGAAGTCCATTTTACCTTCTCTAAAAATAACAGAAACTAATCAAAAGAGCCGCAAACCATTGAACCACGGTTAGACAATTATCTCCATTTTCAAGTAATGTTAATCCATAGATAAAAGAGTTTGAGTAAGTTTTAAAATTGCAACGGACAGATATTTCTGATATTTAATGTGTCGTGGTTGTGGGTGAACTTTATGTCCATAATTCTAACAGAGAAATGTTTTTCTAAAAATAATAATTATCACGTGGACTTTAGCAAAAAAGGATATATGATGTTTTGCCCCATATTTAAAATTCATGCAAGGGACCTATTCACTCTGATTAGTCAATACCCAACGTTCTATGCCTTCTTCTAACCATCCCTTTAAACAGAAAAAGAGGGAAACAAAGACATAAATCGTACCTCAATTTGTTGAATTTTGAGTCAGCCTGCATTCACAGTATAAACGATGTGGCGATTATTTTAATTTAGTCCGTCAGCGTTTTTTTATTAGTTTTCTCTATGGGAGAATCTCATGCAGCTAACCTTAGTAGGCTGTTCATGTAAGAAATTGTAAAGCTAGAAAAATAGAAAAGGCAGCAAGTCACAGTGTCAAATTGCAACGTTAAGATCGGGCTCACTGGGTTTTAGTCGGTAAGTAAGTCGAATTTATGATTTACATAGCTTTCAGCTGTGTGTTTTGATTTGCAGGTAGAGAATTGAACAGAAAGAAATGACCAGCGAAGAAGAAAATCTTACTTATGCGGGTACTGAACTTCAGCCAGCTGTTGCCGACCCTACAGCAACTTTATTGCCGCCAATATCGTCTGGTCAGTATGAGCGTGCCTATGATAATCTTTATTGCCGCCAATATCGTCTGGTCAGTATGAGCGTGCCTATGATAATTTTGAAAAGTGGAGAAGAGAAAACTCAATAAATTCTTTTTCCGAACAAGTAATGCTAACCTATTTCCAAAAACTTTCAAGTTCCTTAAAGCCTTCGTCGTTGTGGTCTCTTTATTCAATGTTACGGTCCACTATTAACCTCAAGAACAATATCAACATCAGTGAGTACCTACGATTACGCACTTTCCTGAAAGGGCAGTCGGATGGCTACAGGCCGAAAAAGTCAAAACTCCTAACTCCCCAACAAATTAAAGAATTTCTTGTGACAGCACCTGATGAAAAATACTTGTTCACAAAGGTATATAGGATCCAGGTGAAAATATAAGGTTATGTAAAATTTTTTGCTTCAGGTTGGATTAATCTTTGGTATAATGGGAGGCTGTCGTAGGGAAGAATTGATGAAAATCCAAATTACTCACATTCAAGATCTTCACGGTGCATTGTTAGTCACAATTCCAGAATCTAAAACAAAGACTGAGCGTCAGTTTGTAATTACGGGTAATAAATAATTGAAATTTTGCATAGAAAAAATTAATATCGATTTGTAGGGAATTCATATAATACATGTAAAAAGTACATCGCTCTCCGGCCTCAAAACATGCAAAATATGACGAGATTCTTTTTGAACTATCGACTGGGAAAATGCACCAAACAGCCCATTGGAATTAACAAGTTTGGGAATTTGGCCAAAGAAGTAGCAAAGTTTTTAAAATTACCTGACGCAATGAACTATTCAGGACATTACTTACGAAAGACATCAGCATCCATTTTATTTGACTCTGGCGCCAACGTTGGAACTCTAAAGCGCAATAGGGGTTGGCATTCGACCAGTGTGGGTGAAGCTTATACTGATGATTCTTTGAATAAGGTAGACACGGAGAAGAAGATTTTGCATTCAGTTGAAAATATAGGTACGACTCTTGAATGTCATGATACTCAAGATATTAGTGCTGGTACAAGCACTTTTAATAGTAATTACACTGCAACGCAAACGCTGTTTGAATTAGGTGAGTATATCTATATATTTAGTTTATTTACTTTATTAGCATAGTGAATAAAAAGATACAGGGTGTCCCAAAAGTGACCCTCCCCCCTCTAACAACTTAACAGTTTAAAAACGAGATAAACAATACGAATGTTGGAAAAGGTTTTAAAAGCGTCAAGCAAACCAAAAGCGGCGTTATAATTGTGGAAAGTTTTGACAAAAATCAGCAAAATAAATTAAAAGTTGCCATACAAGAAAAAGAACATCTGAAAATTAAGGAGTCTCAAACCAATGACCCTATGTTTATGGTAACTGGAATTCAAAAGTGTTTTTCAAATGAAGAGTTTCTTGAGGAATTAGAAAGACTGAACAACGAAATTGTACAGGAACTTAGTGATAATATATGTGACAAAATTCAAGTAATAGAGAAAAAGCAGTGTCGCAACCCGACTAAGGAAAACTGGATTCTTCAAGCCCCGCCACCCATCTAAAAATGGTTTTTGAAAAAAGGGAAAATATTTTTTGATCTGGTAATGGTTTACGTACAAGAACACTATAATTTAGCACAATGTTTCAAATGCTGTGGATTTGGTCATGTAAGTAAATATTGCTCTGAGAAAGAATGTTGTCAGAAATGTGGAAAGGAACACAAAACGGCGGATGAAAATGTTTTAAAATGTCCAAACTGCATAAAGTTAAAGCTAGATGATTTCAACCACTCTGCCAGAGACAAAAGTTGCTCGGCATATAAAGAAGGTGAAAAGTATTTAGAAATAATATTAATTATAATGATTTTTTATAAAAGGGACCCCAATATTGAGTACAGATTGTCGGTTAAAGGAGTATGTTAAAAATACTTTAGTTGATAAAGGTAGACACTCTGCAGATGAATGCTCCATAATTCATCAAAACGTCCAATCGTTAGAGAACGCGGTGGACAGCATAAATAATATGCTTCAAAACAACTTTTCATGTAAATTGTTGTGCATAACAGAACACTGGAAAACTCAGGAAGAATTAAAAACGTTAGGGATAAAACACTTAGACCTAGTAATTGCCTTTTGTTGAGAACATGGAGGAGGCGCTATTTATGTGCATAAATCTGTGAGGTGTAAACCGAGAAATAACCTAAGCGAATTATCAATAAAAAAAGTTTTTGGGTGCGCAGCAGTAGAATGCATATTTAAGAAAGATCAGTTAATAGTTTTGTCAATTTACAGACCTCCATCAGGAACTATAGATGTCTTCCTATATTGCTTAGAAAAGGTACTCTTAAATATTTTTAAGGAAAATAAAAAAATTGTTATAGCGGGGGATTTTAACATAGACATGCTTAGAGAAAATGAACACAAATTAAACTTAATTTTACTAATTTCTTCATTTAACTTTTTGCCAGCAAGCTGTATTGACAACATCTTCTGAATACGGAAACACTCTAGTATTTGACGCTTTTATTTCTGATCATACTGCTCAGAAAATTACATTACCTTTAGAGAATTTTAGACAACATATGACTCATTTTAAAAGAATCTTTTCAGAAAAAAATAAGCAAACCTTTATAAACTGCCTACAAGAACAAAAGTGGGAGGATGTAATTATGACAGAAATGGATGACGTCAATCAAGAGTGGAACTCTTGTATGAATCTTTTCTCTACACTGTTTGATCAATGCTTTCCTAAAAAAACAATATGAAACACTAATGGTGTAAAATCATATAAATATAATGATGAGATTAGAGAATGTAAATGAAAACTAGATATCTTGTTAGTTTTGGCTAGACAAAGTGCTCGATATAAACAGCAATACAGATTTGTTAAGCGAAAATATGATAATCTTTTGAAAACTGAACAATCTCAGGCATATGACATTAAGCTAAAGCTTTCTGATAATAAAACCAAATGCATGTGGTCAATATGCAATGAGATTTCAAATTAAATGTCAAATGATTTTAATGAACATATGGTCAAAGTTGTACCTGAATTATTGGAAAACCTAGAAAAAAGGCAATTTTCCAATAAAATACCCCTAAATTCACAGTCCACCGGTAACACCAGATGAAATCTGTCATTTTGCTGGACAAACTAAAAATAAACATAATAGTGGAATAGACGAGATTCCAACCAGTATAATAAAAAATTCTGTCCCGTATGTTAGTAAAGTGTTGTGTTTTTTGAATAATGAATCCTTTGAAAATGGCGTTTTCCTAGACCAACTTAAGACAGCTTTAATAAAACCGCTCTATAAAAAGGGAGCTCCAGAAATAATTACCAACTATATACCAATTTTGACCGGGTTTTCTAAAATATTTGAGATGGCTATTTGCAAAAGACTCTTAGAGTTTTTTAATAAATATAAAATGTTCAACAATCATCAGCATGGTTATGTAGCTAATAAATCAATAGAAACCGCTATATTTCAGTTTATAAAAACAATTTTGGAGAATAGCTTTAGGTACGTGCTTAGATCTTTCTAGAGCATACGACTGTATAGACAGGGAGTTATTGCTCAAAAAATTGTATCTATACGGTGTAAGAGGTAATGTTCTAAAATTATTTGAATCATACTTAATAAGAAGGAAACAACAAATGTGGCCAAAATGGCACTAGTTATTTTTCAGATATTAAGGAAAATAGTCTGAGCATAGCACAAGGTAGTATTCTTGGTCCAATTTTATTTACCATTTTTGTGAATGACTTGTATTTCGTAACACACAAGAGAGCATAATATGCTATGCGGATGATACCAACCTGCTTGTAGGGGGAAATAATCTCACTGAGGTGAGTGATAAAGGCAACGATATTTTTACAAGGGTTTCTAGGAAATAAATTGATATTAAACAAAGAGAAAACGAATTTAATTATGTTTAGAACTAAATTATGTAGAGATGAAATACCATTAGGAATAGGGATAGGTAAAGAAAATATTAGTATTGTAAATAGCACTAAATTCTTAGGTTTACAAATTGACGAATTTCTTGATTGGTCTGAACATATTGATTATCTGCTAAATAAATTAAATTCAATTTGTTATGGAATTAGAGTCGTTGCAAATTATATGAATAAGAAACCTTTAAAAATAATGTACTTTGCAAACTTTCAGTCACGCATGAGGTATGGAATTTTCTTTTGGTGAGGTAGTGGTCAACTACAGAAAATTTTCGTGGTTCAAAAGGGGACTCTTCGCACTGTTAAAAAAATGCAATTTAGAGAGAGCTGTAGAGGGGTGTTCAAGGCGAAGGTATTTTTACTGTATATGCTTTATATATTTATGAAGCATTGATATTCTTTTTTAAAAATCGAAAGGACTTCGAACTACAGATATTTCATAGGTATAATACCAGAACCCTAAATGTAAATTACCCTATTCACCGTTTAACCTTAACTGAAAGGAGTCCTTATTATATGTACCTGAGATTGTATAATAAATTAGCAAATGAGGTAAAAACAATTGCAAATCTAAAAATCTTTAAATACACAATAAAAAAGTTATTGATAGAGTTAGAACCTTACTCCATAGAATATTTTTTCTGTAATATTTAAATAATTGTTTAATTAATACGATGTAATTGAAATTTAAAAGAATATCTAGTGCTTTTTTATTTTTTGACGCCGATTTCCTTTGTATTTGGTATATTATTTTTAGGTAATGTATTTATGACACATTGTGAAATAAAGTTGATTATTATTATAATCAAAGTAACAAATTTGAATCAATAAACTTATAAAAAAAAAGTAAATTAAAAAGGGTTCCTTAATTCGGCCCATAAAGTTTAGTTAAAAATGTTCCTCTTGAAGTTGTATTTTCAATAAGTTATCGTTTTTTAGTTAATCAAGCTAGATAATTAACTACTAAGTGTTTCTTTAAATATGAGTTCTGAAGTTTTATTAATTCTGTTGAAGTGTGTACTATAGAGTCTATTTTTTTCAAAATTTCCACTATTAATGGACACCCTGTATTGTTAGCAATAGGTTTTATTCGTATATCTGGAGTATTATATCTTTAGGAAGTAGTATCATGTCTTTCCTAATTAAAAAATACCTAATAATGCTAACAAGTGACCTAATCTTGGTAGATTTAAATTCAACATGAATTTATACGGGTGTTATATCAAACCTCCAATTTCTCAAAAAGTAAGTAAAATTTAAATATAAGGTAAATGACAAACTTACTTTTTTTTGTCCTAGAATCTGTGTTCCATTCGAAAATCTTGAGATTTTGTTAATTGAATTCGCCAAAACGGCACCACCTATTTGGCACAACCTGTATAAGCTGAGACGGATCTGTCAAATTGATTGAGTAGTGAGTGCATCATCCCCTTAGCCTGTGATTAAATTTTCGTTGCAATATCTGGATTTTATATGGGGCAATCAAAATATGAAAAAAAAACTTATAGCCTCAATTTCTGCCTAAACTGTGTAAAATTCGAATAGGAATTTCTTAAGAAAGTGACCTTTATTTTAACTAAGGAATCAAAATATGTCGTATTATACAGGGTATTCCATTTAAAATAACAGATGATGTTGGGGGGACACTTTTGAGACAGCCTGTATCAACAATATTATAATATTTTAAATCTTCAAGAGAGTCCAAAAAACTTTTATACGAAACTTTTTTCTTTTCTCCCATGGGTTTCCAAATCGTATAGTGGATCGTTTTATTCGGCACACGGTGTACACTGTGTCCCAAATTGTCTGGGTGTCCAACAAAGATAGAACTTTACAGTTTTCACGACTTTGCGTTAGTTTTCCGCGAAACTTTTTTGGCCCCAAAATTTTTGGGTATTTTGGAGATACAAAAATTTACGCACATTTCTGCATCTTCATGATACAATTGTAGCGCAGTATATTTACTTTATAAGGCGTATATTGAAAATTTCTTAGTATGCTTTGCATTTTACACAGATCCCGCATTATTCCTACATAAATTGGAGTGATTGGCCTCAACATAACTCAACACATGTTTTTTATTATACGTTTTAGCTCTTTGCTTTGAAAATTAAATAAATAAACCGCAAAGTTCTATCTGTGCTGTGTTCAGGCAAATACTGCCTTCTGCTTTAGAAATGCAAAAATGCAAGTTTGAAGCAATATTCGTTTACATAACAATATTAATGTTTTCATTTTAGTGTGTTTCGTCATTTCATCAATATTTATTTAAGTAAGAACAATAACGTAAATTTGTATTAAGCGTTCCGTTAAGCGTATTTATAAATTTTTCTCTCTTCGCTCTGCTGTGCTCCGCTTTTGCCTAAAAAACTTGTGACTAAAGTGTCATTTTTGAAACTTGTTGACTAATATGCTACTCAGTTTTTTAAAATACCCTGATCCTGCAATAGCTTGGATACAGTTTTGTGATTTAAATTTATTTGTTTTTTATTTATTAGTCGAAGCAGTAACGTTACCAAATATACAAAAAATAATTGATATATATATATATATATATATATATATATATATATATATATATATATATATATATATATAATGTAATCCAATTAATAGTAAAATATATAATTTTCAAAAGCCCTAACAGAAGACTGCCAACATTACAAAAAAAAAACAGAAAAAGAAAACACTCATATACATAAATATCAAATTAAAAGCTTCAAAATTCTAGACACTATAAGTAAAAACCATTCATTGCGTTCTTTCCTACATAAGGAATATAGTTTTCTTGTAATATTGTTAGGACGACTATTTTTGGGTTCTAAATAATAAATATTTATTTGACACGTTGAGTGTCTTAGGTCAACACTGTTTAGAGATATACGAGTGAGAATATTTCTTAATTTTAATATTAATTTTCAGACTTTGCCCTTAAAACAAGTAATATGTTCTTTCCATGTAAAGTTTTCACTTAAAATTATCCTTAAATATTCTAAGAATTTTTTTTTACTATTTACCATTCTTTGAGTTCGTTCCTCAGGAATATAGTTTTGTTATAATATTGTTAGGACGAATATTTTTGGTTCTAAATAATAAATATTGATTTGACTCGTTGAGTGTCTTAGATCAACATTGTTTTGGAGATATAAGAGTGAGAATATTTCTATATTGAATTTAAATATTAATTTTCAGACTTTGCCCTTAAAATAAGCAATATGTTCTTTCAATGTAAAGTTTTCACCTAAAATTATCCCTAAATATTGTAAGAATTTTTGTTCACTATATACCATTCTTCGAGTTATTTCCTACATCAGAAATATAGTTTTATTGTAATATTGTTGGGACGAATATTTTTGGGTTCTAAATAATAAATATTTCTTTGACATGTTGAGTATCTTAGGTAACATTGTTTAGCGATATAAGAGTGAGGATATTTCTTAATAAATTGAATTTAAATATTAATTTTCAGACTTTGCCTTTAAAATAAGCAATATGTTCTTTCCGTGTAAAGTTTTGATCTAAAATTATCCTTAAATATTGTAAGAATTTTTTTTTTCAATCAGCTTGGGATCGGGAAGAAAATGATAGGGTCACAAATTTTATTTTTACAACACTCAATCATCTTCTAATTTTTTGTAGAGCAATGTCTGTTAGTATTTTTTGGTTCTCCCAATTATATCCCCAAACAATCACACCTCCATCGTCTGCGAAACAATACACTACTTGCTCATCAGCCAAGACACTGTACTCTAACTAAACCTTAAAACTGTAGTTGTAATTGTGGTATTACTATTTGTTTTTTGGTTTTTAAGTACTACTTATAAGTGGCCTCTAGCAATATGTCTATAAAACATTTAATATTTCAGAACCAAAAGCAGGAACTAGCAATTGTGATTTATTACTTTTTCCAAAGATTGAGCCCACTGACTTCCTAGGTAACGAACATTGAGCTTTTTGATGTTGTAGTGATCTCTGCAATAAATTCATATATTTTAGATGAAGAAGAAACTGACATGTCCACTTTGCTTGTTCCAAAAGTCGAGATGAACTACTTAGGTCAGTGTGCAGTATCTTCCCTTGGATATGTTGAAATTAATTACAAGTAATTTTAGATTTCGAAGGAGGCCAATTTGTACAAGATCCAATTGAATTACCGGAACCAATCAAAAACAGTCAACAGACACCCAATAAAGGAAGAGTCTCAAAACCTAAATATGTAAGGGATATTAAGATCAGTGATCTTTCTACCCCCGAGAGTGCGAAACGGTGTTTCTTGATGGCAAAAGCAAAAATTAATCGACAGTGTTCAAAAATTAAAATGCTAAGACAAGCAAATAGACGCTTGTTAAGGGAAATCAAAACTATGAAGGATTTGGTGAATCGTCTTCGAAAAAAAATTTGATTTGTTAAATTTATCAGGATGATTTGGTGGTACAGCCGTTGTAAGTTCTTTTTAATTTCCTCAATCTTCGTTCAATGGGTGGGGTTTTGCGAGTTCAAATTAAAATACCAAAAGCGATAATTTTTGGTACAAAGAAAAAATTTAGAGAAGGGGCAAAACTGAAATATTGGTAATCCAAATCTTTTGGCCTGGTTTCGTAAGATTTTTCGAAAAATATTTTGATGGACAGCTAATTCAATGTAATATAAAAAGAAAAACATCAAAAGATCCGTTATTACTGATACGGAGATGCCGGGCATTTTTATATCACATGCTATCGCGAATCGTGCGAGCCGAATGCAGTTCCTATCTATCACATGTTATGCCAAAAACGCCTTCATATCCAGGACATGTAATCGCGATATTATTTGAAGCAAGTTGTTACCCAATTAGATAAAAAAATAGTAAGTACAGGGTGTTACAATATGTGTTTTGTAAAAATTGAAAATATTCCTTGCATACATCTATAATACCTAAATAAATAATTTCTACAAATTTAAAAAAAATTATTTAGTGAAACAAAAAATGCTACAAATATTTATTTAAATAATTTTACATTGAGACATTATTTTCCTATTTTTCTACTCCGAGGGCTTGATTTTGCGTGACACAAGTTTGAAGGCTGTGACGAGCTAGGTTCTCTTTTTTGTTTGAATTGTTCGGTTTCCTTCCAGACTGAAAACGTCTTGTTCCAGTAAATTTCGTTTTTCTTCTTGCTACACTCATTGGTTGGACAGAGATTTTAGTACCTTTTCTTGTCGTGTGCACCATTTTCCTATATAATGGTGAAGGTTTGAAGGCTGTGTGAAGTGCACTCAGACGTGACGACGAACTGTTGATATTTTTCTTGTAATTTTGCATAAATGACTTTACACCACCTACAAAATTCTCAGGATCATCTAGAATATTTTGTTGTATTTTAATATCAAACTGTTGTAAAAAAGTTTTCCATTCAGCTAAAATGTCTGTGGCCTCAGTTATCTCATGATCTTGCTGTCCTAGGTCTCCAAGTTGGTCTTTCATATCAGCAAAAATTATTCCTGGTATCTACACTTCGGATTTCTATTGTCGGTGAAGGTCTATTCTGTTTTACATCAGTCATATTTTTGGCTAAAAGAAGCGGTTTGAGCAAATGGGGAGGGGTTTGGTTGCCATTCGCTATTTCGTATATTATGTGTTTCTGTTGGTCGGATAGAACATTGCAAGCGTTAATAATATCAAATTTTTTAATAACAGCAGCTTGGTGCTTACAAATTTTTCCTGTACAACCCTGATGACAAGAACACGTACAAATTTCCATATTTACAAAGTAGGTTTGTTCCGCAGAGGAGCTCAACACAGTATATTGAAGACTCCCTATTTCTACAGTTTTATCGGGATCCTTGTCGTCGGCGGTGTATCTCCTGATGTTGACTCTGTTCATGACTACGTCCAGTAATCTTTGTTTGTAGTAACAGTTGAAATTAACCACAATGAAGTCTACGAGTTGTACAAGCGGTATGTCCTTAAATAACCTAAAAATTACTTCTATCATGTTGTTAGTATTCGATCCTCGGGTAACAAATGTTTTTCTGTACCACAAACACCATTCTTCTTTTCTATCCAACAGTTTTCCAACATAACTATTATATTTGGGATATTGAGCACAGCTTTTAATTAATATAGAAATATTTTCTTGCACTTCTTTCTCACTATTGGCACTTTTCAGGATGTGTCTAAAGTAGATGTAAAGCTTCTGCCTGTCCTGAATTTGCACATTGTTGTTGGATGTACAGATCCCCTTCCAAACTGCCTTCAAAACGTGAAACGTCCATAGCAGTAATGTAGCATTTGGCTAATGTTCTTTAAGTACCTTTTTCTCTTTGAGGTCGTCGTCGGTTATAATAACTGCAGGGCATATTTTTTTAGGCGTTATGTCTATTAAATTTTTTACCGCAATATTAAAAACATCGCTTTTTTCACTTGTTGTGATCACACATCCAATTGGAATTCCCCCAATAGAAGACTGGGTAACAAAAAAAAACAATTTATGGTTTTCAACGTCACAATTCCCAGTTGCATCAACAAATAATATTTCGGATGATTGAAGCAATAAATCTGCCGTTCTCTGCATCATTGGAGTACATAAGGAAATGGCGTAATGCTCCAAAATTTTTGCATCAACAAATAATATTTCCGATGATTGAATCAATAAATCTGCCGCTCTCTGCATCATTGGAGTACATAAGGAAATGGCGTAATGCTCCAAAATTTTTTCAATGTGGAACAAAGTGTCCTTATCAGATAAATTTGTTTCCAATGTCTCTAAGGCATCCTTTCCCGATCTAGAACCAAAGGATTCTTGGAAATGTTTATGTCATATATTTGAAAAGTCAGTTTCTGTGGGAAACAAATGTCGATCAGCCATCATTTCTTCATATTGGTCGCCCAGCTCTTCCTGTTTTGAAAAACAAAAACTGTGGTACGCTGATGAAACCGAATGACCTCTATTAAAATATTCAAGTCCTTCTTTTATTGTTTGATCGCTTATAGGATGCTTACGTAAGGCTGCAGCGCTGTCAGTCGTGTGGTTGTGATGATTTTGGAATGAAATTATACATGACCAAGTTTTTACTAAATCATCTGATTGCTGTTTGGACTTGGATGCACGTGACTATTTGGTGGGAATCCGATTTATTACGAGAACTAGTTTCGCTGGACAGTCAATATTTCGAGATGCGTGCTTTCTTTTAATACAGCGAAAGGAGTTTGTGTTGTCGCTGCCATAATTCACACTTGCCAAGAATAAAAAAAAACAAACTTTAGTGTGTTGTTATACTACATACTTGAAATTTGGTAACAGGTGTATAATAGTATTCCACCTTGTGTCGAACAAAAGTGGACACTCCTTAAGAATTAGCATGTTATTAAGAAACACCCTGCATGTTAAACAAATAAATGGCGCCAGAAAAGCACTTATAATAAATCAGTTCAATTTTAACCACCCTGACAATGTAAATTTGAAAACCGCATTTTCCTAACTGTTACGGTTCGTGTGCTATCTACCATTTTTTCAAAAACTACGGCTCAGACAAACTTTCACATTATAACATTTTGCAAAATATTATTACTAAATCTAACTTTGAAAACAGTTTTTTTTTAATATTGTGAAAAATTCATTTCCCCGATTGACATCCTTACCACCCACCAAACACCAATGGCCATTTTATAACCAAAATAACACATTTTGAGGGAAAATAAAAAAAAACTAATTTAAGTCTATAATTCTAACTTATAATATGAACTTCTAAAAACACCCAGTACACAAAATCATATTTTATTTAATACAAATTTAAGACAGACAAAACAATTCCCAGGGTATTTTATTTTGGTTCAGAGGCTTCTTACAGTCAGTCTAGATACTTCAGTAAAAATACTTAGTTGTGGCAACATTGCACCTCACACGCTTGACCTATTGGTGCATTTTTAGGTTGTGTTATTTAAGTAGTGGTACATTTTTTATAATTTTCTATCTACATTACTTTTTAAAAAATAGATTTTTAATGGAAAGCTAAGCCAGATAATAAAGGTATTTTCATTTAACACGAATTACAATACGCACACAACGTGGTATATGATTAATCTTGAATTTTTGATGAGGTTTTACTTCGGACGAAAAATTATTATTTTAAACAATGAGCAAATAATTTACCTCCGTTTCTTCTTTGGTTGACAAACTAACCCTGAAGGAGCAATCATCAATGTGATGGTAACTATAATTAGTGAGTAAGGATAAGTTCACCATTTTTATTTTGCCAAACAAGGAAACATATAAAGCTACGAATACAACTGGGTAGTGTAAGGTGAAAGTAAACCAAAAAAAATATTTTCGGGATAACATGTGATAGATAAGAACTAAGTTCGGGCGTCGCCCGATTTGGCTCGATTCGTGATAGCATGTGATAGATATAAAAATGCATGCCGGACCTTTTCTTAAGCACAAATCGACTCTCCCACCACTCAAAACTAATTTTTTCAGAAATTCATATTTAAAAACTTGTAATTTTAATTTTCCAAAGAAACTTGCGCAGGTTACTGTAATACTTTTTATAAAACTTCCGGATTCCTCCTGCGTCAGTTTTTGTCGACTGGAACTAGTTAACGTTTAGCCAATCATCCTGTTGGCTTCTTCAGAGCTTGACTGAAAGTGGCTCGCATTTTGCTCTCGACCTGCTGCTTTTATATTGTTTGAGGGGGCGGAGTTAAAAGAGGGCCATAAACACCGTCTCGGATGACTCATTCCCATATTGGTGACAGGTAAAGACCTGAGTCGCAGTTAAGATTTTTAGGTTGCTTATAGATTTCTATAGACTCTCGGATTTTTCGTTGGTAGAAAAATTGATGCAAGAATTTTAGTTTTATCTAATAAAATGTTATGTCCGGTTTCGTGATTGTGTGAGTTTTGTTGATGAGTTTATTTGTCTTAGTCTTAAGGCTGTTTCATGTTCTTTGAATCTAGTTGATATTTTACGTCCCGTCTCTCCAATGTATTCTTTTTCCGCATATGCATGGAATGCTGAAACTCCTGGCATCTTAAATGGAATTTTATCTTTGACGGATCGAAGATGTTGACAGATTTTTGGACAAGTGGTAAATCTGCTTTTGACGTTGTATTTCTTTAGAATGTTTGATATGAGGTCAGTGATGTTTTTTTTGTATATAAGGAAGGACAACAGTGGCAAGTGTGGGATTGCTTTCGTTTTCATTGCTATTGGAAGGTTGTGGTGAAGTGTATTTTGTGATGGTATGCCTAATATCTTTAATGTGGAAATTATTAGAGAGAAGAGCAGAGGTAGGGTATTTTAATTCCGGGTTTAATGACTCGGATGGAGATAGTTTTACGACTCTGCAAACAAGAGAGTTGATAACCGATGATTTTTGGCCCGGTTGGTGATGTGACAATGTGTACGTGGGTTTTCTGTAAATCCAGGACCCAATGTTAGGTCTGATTTTCTATTGATAAGAATATCTAAGAATGGGAGGTTGTTATTAGTTTCTAATTCAATTGTAAAACGTATGTTAGGGTGTATAGAATTTAAATGTCTAAGAAAATCTACTAGAGATTCCTGATCTTGAGGCCAAATAACAAAAGTTGTCATCGACGTCGCGTTTCTATAATTTTCGTTTTAGATGGAAGGTGTCGAGAGCTTTCTTCTCAAAAGGCTTCCATAAATATATCCGCGATGACTGGTGATAGTGGAGAACCCATAGCTTTTCCCGAAGTTTGTTAAAAAAATCTGACCGTTATAAGTAAAATATGTTCCAGACAAGCATTTTTCAATTAAGGTGTGAAGGTTTGGTTCCAAATGAACTTATTAGCTAGTTCGAGTCAACAAAAACTGACGCAGGAAGAATCCAAAAGTTTTATAAAAAGTAACTTGTAATTTTATATGATAATTTTTTATATAATATTTTTAAGATATATAAAATATTCTCTCAACAAGGCTTCTCCATGCAAAGATCTAGAGTTAAAAATTTACCATGCTGCATCCAATTCGTTCGCTGCAACTGAAATAACAGACCGCAATTTTTTTTTACTGGTTTATTCCAGACTTTAATTCTGTACAAATACCGCCATCAAGGCCTTATGACGAAAAAGAACATTTAGTACAATTTTAGTACGTTGTAGATCATGGTTATAAATAATTATATTAAGTTATTTCTTAAGTGTTTCTGTAATTTATTGTATCTTTTTGGTACACCACGAAGTACAATCTGTGGGACACTGTCAAAACTCTGGATACTGAGAATCAGAGAGTCCTGTCCTTTTCTGGTATTTTTCAATATGGTTTTATTTCTAGTATTGTAGTTATGGAATTGTCCATTTGTTAGACATGACCATACCAAATCAGTTGTTTTCATTCAATGGCTGAACTTCTTTGATGACTGTGTGTAATTCGCGATGTCTCTGCTCCATGCAATAAAGGACTTTTAATTGACATCTCGTGGACCTTGTATTTTCTTTTTTTCGCTATCTTGTGACACCAAGTGATTTGATTTAAACAACAAGTTAATCTTCTGGCCTGAGTTACACGTCTTTTAATTTGTCGTTGTATTAAATTCAACTGCTAGGTAAGCGTTGATTTGATCTTAATCGACTTGAATGTTGGATGATGACTTGGGCAAATTATAACTTATATAAGCAGGTTTTATCTAATTCAATACCTATAACCCTGCGTTCCCTTTCCTGTCGATTTAGAGCTTCTACGACATATATTTCAAGCAGTGTGGGAGACACAGAATAACCTTGACGCAAACCCTTGTTCCCATGAAAATTTCGAGATCGTTTATTACCAATTTTTATTCCTGCTATTGAACCGTTATATAAATTTTGAAGAGCTTTTGTTAAGATGTAATTAATGTTTGATTCTTGTGACACTTTTTTTTTAGCTTTTTTACAGGTACTGTGTCATACACCTTCTTGAGATCTATAAACATACGATGAGTCTCTTGGTTGGTGCTAGATCTTTTTTCTATTATTTGTTTTAAGCAAACCATGTTGGAGGTGTAAGTTCTACCAGCTCTGAAATCTGTTCTTCTTGACGTTTAGAAATTTATTTAGGCCAAAGCTTCAAAAAGTTTTGTTGTTTTCTATTTAATTAGGTCGGCTGATATTCCTTCTGGGTGTATTGCTCCGCAATTTTTAAATTTACTTACAACACTTTCAAATATGATTAGATCAATGTCTATTTGTTCTTCCTCAATTGGAGTAATATGTATGATGAGACCAAGGTACTTTGTATTCAGTCACTTCTCTAAACAATATGGTATACAACTTTTTCCATTTTTTAAAAATTTGTTATAACTTAGCCAGTCATAATATTTTTCAAAGAAACTTCCACAAGCTACTGTAATACTATTTACAAAACTTCTCGATTCCTCCTGCGTGAAGTTGTTGTTGAGTCGAACTTGCTAACGTTTCGCCAATCATACTGTTGGCTTCTTCAGAGCTTAACTGAAATTTTCGTAATACTTTATAAGATTTGATGAATCAAACTTGCGGACGTTTGGCCGATCATCCTTTTGGTTTCTTCAAAACTTAACTGAAACTGAATCCAGAACATTTGTTAATAGTAATAGTAAATGTGCTTTTTATTAGAAGCCGCCCTATGCTTGCGAACTGCTGATTAGACAAAGCAGTAATTTTATCTTGTCGTTCCATCTTGGTTTAAATTTTAATTTATTTTACTGGGATTTTGGTCTACTTTTGAACTGAACTTCTGTAGTTTTTCCCTTAGGTTCATTAACTTCATTTTTTAAATTCTTTTTGTCCACTCATTCTGTATAATTGATGACCATATTAAGAGTGTGATTTAGAGACCACCTACTCACTCTTTTTAGAACATATCTGTCTGAGCGGAGACTATACAATATTGTTTTTACTCACCCATTAGTGACACGCATCAGGGCAGTACTCTACCATCATCGTTAGTTTACATTTTTATCAATTGTGTATCAAACGACCGCAGAGCTTTTCAAAATAATATCACTCGCCGTCACAATGGTACACGATTAATGACATGTTGCAAATATTTAAAAGCTATTAAATTATAACCTTCTCAGAATGTTACATTGACAACTCGCTGTTATCTGATTACGTAATTTATGCCTCTATCGTCTGATGCTCCATATACTTCGTGCATGTCAGTAAAAATGAGAAAATTCAGAGAAAGATTATCAAGTATTTACCATCCCCTCTCAAAGATGATAGTTGTTGGGCAGATTTAACTTTGTATCCTAGCAGTCTGATCGATCGGGGCTTTAGCTTTATTTATTTCAGCATTTTCAATTTCATATCTCCTTGAATATCATGTTGTCTTGTCATAGTGTTAGTAGTTTCAAACCAGTTATTTTGATGTTTTTCTTATTTACACACGATCTGTGTGTTATACAATAAAACGTAATTATAATTATCACACGTTGAAATATTGCTTAAAAACATCAAGTGCCGCAGACCCCGCCCATACAACTTTTTACTTGTTGAAAGGAGATGAACCACATTAAAGTTTTGTTCTTGTAGGCAGGGCTGACTGACATGTCATCAAAATTAGTAAATTCATGAAGGCAAAGACTAGAATTTTCATTTAAATTGTAGGTAAGCTACAGCGTATTATAATTATGTGTGTAAGGTATGGAAAATTTTATAACAAGTCATTAATGACAACCCAGACATTACCAGGAGAATACTTGATTTTATTGCCATTAAGCAATAAAAAGCACCCTATTATTTTTAATTTAATATTAGATAAAATGTAAATAAAGCATTGATCTCAGTACTGCGTTGAATCATTTAAGGAAATTCCCCATCCAATATGTGCTGCCAAATGGTTTGGTTGGATTGCAAGGTTATGTTAATTACTCCAATCTTAACTATTTGCAAGAAACAGGCGGACTTGGGAATCAGCAGGGAGATTTTAGCAAATCGATGAAGCAACTGGCTTTAAAAAATCACTAATTCAAAAATGTGAGATATTTGAAACTTATTCGGCATTTGTAAGTACTCTTTGGATATGTTTCAAAAACTGCATTATTACTCTTTGAATAAGGAACATACTTTATGACAATTAAAGCATAAAGAGTGTTGCCAAGGCACACTAGAGCACTGAAAAATATTAACACATCAATGATTGTACACTTAATGTTTCTATACTTTTCCAAGTTTGATTCTTAAAGCTATTTTAAATTGTATAAATCTGTGTGTATAAACATTGTTATAATTATTGTTAGACAGGGTGTCCAAATAGTGGGTCATAGTAATGCAGTAATACGGTTATAAATTGGCCTCTAGGGTCCAGAAAATGAATATTCTATAAGCGGAAGTACGCTATAATAAAAAACAAAAAAAAATATGTGGGTACGTACATATTTTTATTTTATATAAAAATAGAAAACTAATAAACATTAATATCGGTTTTAAAAATCTACTAAACTAAACCAAAAACTGATCTATATAAAATTTACAACATACAAGTACAAATACATACTTTATTCTTTTTGGGTAAAAAAAATCGTTACAAATTTCATATTCTCGACCTTCCAGGACGTTTGCATAATATCATCCGTTACATTATCAGTAGATTGTAAAAAAATGGTAACAATATTAGCGGTATAAAGCGCTTCAGAATAACTTTGTACTTAGTCCTGTTGAACATCATGGTCGCTTTCGTTACCAGACCTTTGAGGATCATTTGTCTGTAAAACTTCAGTAATAAAATCATTACCCGTTCAAAACTCCCTTGTTATTAAATTGTCATAAACAGTTGGGAAGCTATCCAACTCAAGAAGATACATTTCAATGTTAGTTAGATCTGTGAATCTCCCAGACATCGTCGTCGTTATTTTTGTACTTCTCGAACCACTGAACCAGAGGTAAGTCATCGTCTGAATCAAATTCATCTTCTGATTTTATCAGACGTGCATGTCGAAAGCAGTTTGAATTAGTGGTTGAAGCAACACGAATCCAACTTTGTGCAAGTAATTTTATGGAGTCTAGGATGGTGATGTTGAAAAGTTCCTTATTTTCAAATGATAACCAAAAATATCTGCGGTAATATGTCTTAAGGAAATTTCTTATGCCCTGATCCATTGGTTGGATGAATGAAATGATATTTGGGGGCAAAAACTCTAATCTGATATTTGCATTTTTCGCTTCCAGTCATATTTGCACAAACCCATACGGCGTTACTCAAATTCGACTGCTTCCCACCCAAGCACTTTTCTGCTCTAAATGGGAAACTGTCGGCCAGACACGCACGTTTCAGAGAAAACCTCGCAAATGATTACTGAAAAATCCCCGATTTTTTGGGGGAACCACCGCTCGATAATCCGGTTTTAACGTACACTCGTACTTTATAATCACAACAATAGTGAAAATATTGTACTCTATAACCGTAGTAGAAGTTATATATGGTACGTTATATCCCATGTACGTTATAAACGGAGTTTACTGTATGTTTCATTCATTTGTTTTGGAGAAAAATGTTAAATACAAAAGTTCTAGATAAAACTAAAAGAAACATATACAAGGTCACGGATAAATATGTGGAAAACAAAATATATTTTTTGAAATAGTTAGTATTATTGGATTAGTAGATACTCCTTTTTATAGTCAATCACCCAATATAGGGTTGTTATGGTATTTTTTCGTCAAAAACGCCCTGTGTTTAATAATACCCTATAATTTTATTATGTCAACAATTCAACAAGTCATTTATCTTGAAGTTATTTCGAATCGTTTATACAGGGTAAGTTAAAATGAAAAATATTAATTTTCGGGAATAAATCAAATGTGTGTATTGTACTTCCATTAGTTACTAGTATTAATGCTCTTTCTATTTTGCTAAGCATTCCCTATAGTTCAAATTAGTATGTTCGGAATCATACACATTTTTACGAACAAAACTCCCAAAATTTGTCAAATTATGAGAAAATGTCGCAATACGCCAAGAAAATAGAAATAAATCCGCAAATTTTTAATTTTAAATTCTGCCTTTCTTAAATCCCAAAATATTGTTTTCAGATCGCGTCTTTTGATGCAAATGTATGTTGGTAATGGAAATGCTTATTATTATTATTAACAATTTCTAATTTTTTACTGTGATATTCTGACATATCAGGTTCTAATCAACACTTTATTACCTCGCACTCAGTTTATGAATTTTCGAACTAGATGGCAGGTTCGCAGTAAGACTGCTTTTTGTCCGTACGAAGCGATATAGTGCTCATTCGGCTCGTTGCAATCGACAGTAGAGCAATGCTGTGGGAGCCTCCAACACGGGGAGGTATTTATAATAAGGGGGCAGAAGTCGATTATGGTATCAAGATATGCATTATTTGCAAGGATTTGACAACCCGCCATGATATGTTTGATCGACTCTCCGGACTCACTACATTTCCTACATCTGCCGTCGTCATTGAGCCCTAGTCAATATTTTTCATAGTTTCTTGTTCTGATGAGTTTTCAGTCTTGAATAGCAACAAATCCTTCGGTCTGAGAGTTTTTGGTGTCTAAACTTCTCGGATATATCCCGGTAGTGGCTGCTCTTGACCAATCGGCGTGTTTTGTTTGTGCTATTCTGTTCTTGCAAATGAGAGGTTGTAAATATTAACCAACCCTCTTCCTCCTTGCCTTCGTGGTAGATATAAGCGTCTTACTGACGCGCGGGGGTGCAAACAAGCAGACTTATAAGTTACAGTACAACTATCGTTCATAATTTTTGTTATCCTGTGACTATATTTTCCTCTAAATATTTTCTTCAAGTGGGTGTGATCTATCTTTTGATTCTGATTAGCACCTAAATTTTTATACGTTTTTTCTGGAGACAGGTTTTTAAGTAGATATTTGCTGTTGCTCCACTACTTCTCCTTTTTTGATGTTAATGATGAAGCATTATTATTATTATACTGCCCAATCGTTGAAAGATATTGTTATAGTGAAAATTAATTAAGCTGTTCTTTCTTGTTTTGCAGTTTTGTTTTTAGTTTTTAATTGGTTTTTTGGAGTCATTAGCAAATTAACATTGTATTTTTAATATTAATCCTGGCGTAAAATACTGTTTAAATTGTTTTTCCAAAGTTGCACAGTTCATAATTTTATTACTATAAATATTTCCTCATAACATCTTGTATTAACATAAAGCAAATGCTATTATCTAAAAGAATTATACTTAATTCATATCTGTCGACTTTTCACGGTAAGGTAATATTTATTTTGGTCTCAATCTTTGGTGATATTTTAGCACGGTTTGAAAATCTTCAGCATTTTGTTCGTAAAAATGTGTATTCCACAAAAAATAATAAGTTTAGGCAGGTATAGGGAATTCTTAATAAAACTAAAAGAGCATTAATAGGAATAATTATATACAGGGTGTGACATTTATTTTTTCCACGAAAATTAATATTAATTTTGACTCGCGCTGTATAGATGATTCAAACTAACTCTAAGACAAGTGTAGGCATAATAAAATTATAGCTGTCCGAAATGGTGTTAAAATTAGGGCATTAAACACAGGTCATTTTTGACAAAAAAAAATCCGAAAACACTCATATTCGGTGATTTAGTATAAAAGGGAGTGTCTATTAAAGTCATAGGGTGTTCCATTCAAAAATATATATATTATTCTAATTTAACTTTTGTATTTAACATTTTTCTCTAAAACAAGTAAACAAGATATATTACTTTGACGCACTATTTGGACACCCTGGACAATATATTACCAAGTAAACGCTGAATCCGTTTTTATGCCTTATGGTTTTTCCGTCCGTGCGAAAAACACATGCTGTGAATGAACAAAATAAAAGTGTGTTAAATTACAGCATTTATTGAAATAAAATATTTGCTTTGATCGCAAAGATCAGCCCCAAAGTATCTCGACACTTGCTTGAACGTAAACTGGATTGCTCCCCTTTTCTCGTTTCCAATACTTCAATTTGTTCTTTTATCCTCGCATCCCTCAAAGATTGACATTTAAAATGTTCCAATGGAAAATACACATGGCTACTAGATGTTGCAGGGCGATAAGCACAAGCGGAATTCGCTACTTGTATCAACGATTGTCAATAAAATAAATACGTACAAAATAACCGGTCGTTTATTATACAGAAGTTACAACACACATTTTTACATGACGCGCACACGACAGACAAAAAAGTAGGTGTTTTGTTTAGACAAAGTCACACAGGTTTGTCAGCATTTGTCGATTCTGATTGGGCCAACGATAGTCTAGATCGGTTGGTTATGTATTTTCTTTAGCCAGTGGCCCAATATCGTGGGAAAGCAGAAAACAAAAGACCGTAGCTCTTGGCTACGGTCTTTTGTTGGTGTATAGAGGTTCTATACATTTTTTGGTCCATTCGATCGGATTTTTGGACAGAAACAGGAATTTTTTGGCTATTCATTCGGATTCACGGTTCATTGAATGGATTTGGTTAGTCAATTGGTTTTTTCAAGAGTCTTCACATCCAGCAGCGTATCCTGGACAAGCATTTGAAGTTGTATTCAGTCGGGTGAGAGATTGTTGTCGCAACGATAAAAACAAACTCGCCGTCGGACAGCAAAATCAAGGTAACCTCGTTGCATGCAGAAAACTGTTGCCGTCGGAACTGTTTCATTGCGTTGTGCGTTCGCGTTACGGACAATCGGAAAAAGTGCCAAAGGTTTCCGTTTTCTAAAACAAATTTACGATCGACTGCGTATAGTTATTTGCCTCCATTCATTTATTGTTCATCAACGTTTTCCAAACAAAATTGTACATTTCATCCAATGATC